TCACATTTTTCTGCTTGATTGCAAAAACAAATGGGAAACACATACAGTGAACAACTGATTTGATTTGTAAAACTTGATTTCAGATAGTTTGAAATGATCTCTGAACTTTATTAAAAATAAAGATTTAGTTTTTTTTCTTAAAATAAAATCTACTGCCTGACAAAAATAAAAGCATAAATAAGGTCACTGAACATTAACCAAAATCAGAATAACAATAGAAATAAAAAAGTGTTGGGCAGCAAGCATGCCATGTGGTTCAACCAGCGGAAATAATACATCATTTATCTGCTTAAAGATGTCAGTCTAGTTTTGCTATCAAGCCGATAACAGTAACATTAAAAATAGCACTCATCGACTGATATTGATATGGCCTTTATATCATGCATCCCTAATATCACACTCAATACAACAGTAGTTATACTGTCATATAAGGAGAAAAAAGGATGTGGACAATGTATTTGCATGTGAAATGCGCTTTATTAAGACTCCATGTACTTGCCCCTTTGACAGCTCTATGACATGACTGCAAGTGTTGTCAGCTCAATACAATTCTTTTATCACATTTACCTTATCGGTGGACAGTGTTTTCAGTTTTCGGCATGCATACAGTACATGATTGTCTGTTTTGTTATGCAGTGGCAGTGCTCTGCGGTTTTCAACTGTAATAAACTATGCTTTTGTTATCTCAACTTAAACTCGTTTTTATGAATATTTCAAAGCACACACATCACTCTTTCTAATCCCAGAATGCTTCGGGGCAAACAGTCAGAACGATAGGAGGGACCACTCGACCTCTAGTGGATATTGTTTGTAATTGCTTTACTTTATGATTAGACAGAAAAATGAGTCACAGTTTAGTTAGGGTTAGCACTTTTTTAAGGAAGGAAATGAATGGTTTGATCAGAAAAAAAAACTGTGCATTTGATAATACAAAAATACAGTTGGTACACTGTAAAAATGCAGGGTTACACAATTCATTTATTGTTTTCACAACACAGATTAATTATGTAGACAAATGTAAGTGCTTCGAACATGAAACAGATAAGTTGTGCCAATCAAAATCTCAAGAATTGTGTTGTTTCAGCTCATTTTAAATAGGTAGTTTGAACAAGCCACAAATGTATTTGTTTCTACAAGCAGAACAAGACATGATTTACTCTGATAAACATCAGTAATTAAATAATTAAATCCTGACACACTAGTTTTTCTAGCATCCGTATGAAGTCACAGTAAAGCCTGTTTGCGTTTTGATGCACATTTATGTTTTCCCAAAAACATCACTGCAAAAGCATATAAGGTTTGAGTTTTGTATTTCTGCAAGCAAAATACGGTAATAAGTTCATTTTTCATTAACATCACTCAGTCCATATTGATTTTGTTGGATAATGTTAACCAGTTGCTAGAGCCAGTCTTATGTGTATTGTAAGATGAGCCTAAATTAATTGTATGTTAAAAATTTTGTAGGCATTTTGTAAATGTTCTACTGCTACTATATCAAAGCGTGTTTGTTTTTATTAGTAATATGCAATGCTAAGAACCTAATTTGAACTAGGGCTGCACAATATAGCATTGCTATCGCAGTGTGTGCATCCACAATGGTCACATCACATCACAGGACATGCAATGTTATTTTGGATTAGAGTTGATCAGCACAACAGTTGAGAATGCATAAGATTTGTGGGGTATTTCCAGTTTAACAGAAACAAAGAGAAAGTTTATCATTTGCATGTGTTTTAAAGGCATTTCAAGAGAGATAGAAGCATTCAAACACAAAAAAAGTTCACCTTTTGTAATTTTAATTAACAATGATTCTGCGTAATCATTAATACAATGAAGTCTGGACATTGTTATTTTACATTACATTTGATTATTCAATTTCTGTCTCAGAATACTGTTTGACACTCCAGAAAACCATAACGCTGTTAGTTTGACTTTTATGATTAAGATGATTTTGTAGGGGAATGAATTATGGATAAAACAAATAATAAACAAATAAAATTTTACAACAATTTTAACAATCTTTGCATTTTGTTTATTATTTTTCGTCCATGATTCATTCCCCTACAAAATCACCATAATCAAATTTAGGATTTCTTTCCAAAATAGGGCTATTAAACCATCTGGTAAAATTGCATCAAATACATATCACAGAAAATATCGCTGGCAGTTAGCTCTCTGCAACTCACATGGTCACCCACTGAAGCGAAGCAGGGCTGCGCCAGGCCTGCACTAGGTTGCTGCCGGAAGTAGTGAGCAAGGGGCGCTCAACCTGTGCGTCTGTGTGGGTTCTAACACCCCAGTATAGTGAAGGGGACACTATCATGTCAGTGAGCTCTGTCTTACAGATGAGGCGTTATACCGAGGTCCTGACTCTCTGTGGTTGTTAAAAATCCCAGGATGTCCTTTGAAAAGAGAAGGGGTTTAACCCCGCCATCCTTGCCAAATTTTCCCACTGGCCTCTGTCCATCATGACCTCCTAACCTTCCTCATGTCAGGCTTTATCACTGTGTCTCCTCTACACTAATCTGCTGGTGTGAAAAGCGCTATAAAAAATGTAAGGAATTATTATTAAAATTTTTTTTTTTTCAATATCGTGCAGCCCTAATTTGAACAACTTTAAAGGCGATTTTCTCAATTATTTAGATTTTTCTGAACCCTCAGATTCCAGGTCTTAGCCAGATATTGTCCTGTCCTATCCTTTATCAATGCGAAGTCTATTTATTTGGCATTCAGATGAGGTATAAGTCTCAATTTAAAAAAAATGACCCTTACACTCAAAAAAATTAGTTGAATTAACACAATTCATGAGATTTTTTTGGAACAGGTTAATCGTTTTGTGTTCAAAGCAGTTAAAAGTGTTAACTTAATCGATTTGTGTTGGGACAACATGAATGAATTGTGTGAAACCCCACTTTTTATTTATTTATTTATTTTTTCACAGTTTATGTAGTCCAAGGTCACACATAATATTTAGGACTTGCACAAAAAAGAACTCCAATCATTTTCTAATAGATTAAATTGAGTCCTGCCATACATTTTTTTTTCCTCACTGAATATCCCTTTTATTAGGTTATATGGCACATTGTGGTCAATACCCGCCCTGCTTGTGCATCATGTATATACTTGCTTGTCTGTATACATTGCAGGAATGCAGTAGAGTTCTGTGTATCACCCATCAGCCATTTCGTAATGTCTGATGAAGGATAGGTGGCACAGAAGTGGGCCTGGACAGAAATAGCATCCACCTGTTTGTCCAAATGCATTCATAACAGCCATACTCATGTTCGCACACACCTCAACCTATACTGATGATCGGAAGGAACACATACTACACTACAGTTCAACCAATGACAAATATACTGATTGGGGGTGTTTGTTTCAAGTATCTCATTTTCACAAATGAGATACTTGACAAATTTCTATCTATCTATCTATCTATCTATCTATCTATCTATCTATCTATCTATCTATCTATCTATCTATCTATCTATCTATCTATCTATCTATCTATCTATCTATCTATCTATCTATCTATCTATCTATCTATCTATCTATCTATCTATCTATCTATCTATCTATCTATCTATCTATCTATCTATCTATCTATCTATCTATCTATCTATCTATCTATCTATCTATCTATCTATCTATCTATCTATCTATCTATCTATCTATCTATCTATCTATCTATCTATCTATCTATCTATCTATCTATCTATCTATCTATCTATCTATCTATCTATCTATCTATCTATCTATCTATCTATCTATCTATCTATCTATCTATCTATCTATCTATCTATCTATCTATCTATCTATCTATCTATCTATCTATCTATCTATCTATCTATCTATCTATCTATCTATCTATCTATCTATCTATCTATCTATCTATCTAAACTCTTTACATATAGCAGGGCAAAGTAATATGACAATATATATCATATTGAAACATCTATCGTGTCATGTTATGCTATTATCATTTATTTTGACTCAAAATACATTGCTTACGGTAAAAATTCTTCATCATTTTGATGAACGGATTACTATACCAAAGGCAGAAAAGAGAATAACAAGATGGAGAAAAAGTTGATAAAAAAGTACATTTAGCATTTTATTTAGCAATATTTTTATGTTGGGCAGGTAATCATTATTTTTAAGTGTTTTAAATGTCATTAATATTTATTTAATATCTTTACATTCTGAATTAGTCGTTTGCCCTAAAATTCTAAATGAAGTGAGAAAAATAATCACATATGAACGAGCAGTACATTTTAAAATCCATAAAAGAAATAGTCATTTCTATGTAGTTAGCATGTATATCAACTATTGATTGATTTGACATGTTAAAATGTGTTATACTGTGATACACAGCAATATCATGAGAGGAAATGAGATCATATTGCCTTGTACTAATATTTAGTGTATATAGGCCTATCTATTGTGCTTATTCATTTTATGTATAGTCCTGCTTGTGTTATTTGAGTCTTGTAACTAGCATGTCAATGCCCAATTCCCCACTGTAATTGTTAAAATATACATTATTACTTTTATTATATGAAATATATTATATTGGTTATTATGGCCCCTCTGCTTTCTAGGCCTAACTTTCTAGTCGTCAGACATTGGAAAACATATATTGGCCGACCGTCCATTCATAAATTCCCATTAAGGACAGTAAATGTCAAATTAAAAGCCTTAATATATCTGTATTTTAACATAATTCAGTTTTCTCTTAATATACCAATTTTCTTTAATTCGGGAGACCATTTAGTAACTTACCACGCATTGTGTTTCTCTCTGCTGGAGGCTGAACTCTCCAAGTCTGTGGAAAGCCTGAATTTTAATGAAGTGGGCGTGGAAAGCCAAATATGAGAACCGCCCCTATGAGATCGATGCTTTCAACGACCAATGGAGAGTAAGTAGTATTTTCCCGCAGCCAATCAGAGTAGAAACATGTGTTTAGACGCTGTGCGGTGCTCTGAATCCGACACGAGCGTGTAGGTTGGCTGTTGTCAGATTGTGCATTGAAGAATTGGCAGCAGCCCATACAATGAAGTTCTGCTCCTCAGCTATAAGTTTACTAGGCCAAGTGGAATAAACCGTTCAGGACGGTGCATATGAAGTTTAGATGGTTAATCACACAGTAACAGTACCGCATTTCGTTAAATTAGTTAGTTTAGAACAACTTAACTAACGTTACCATGACAAAAGAAAGTAGCTGACTAGCTAGCGACTGAGCTAAATCAAAATATTTGCATAGAAACTTTATTTTTGACGGCTGAGTTGGACGGAAAACCTTCCTGAGGTGTCAGCTGTGGGCAAACGCTGGAGTTTGCGAGATTCGTGAACTTTTGAAAGACTTTTTAAGAGCACAAAAGCGACTGGGAATGTCGTGTCGGAGTGGAGTGGCCCGGGTGGGTAATCAAGGACTGCAGCCCCTCCGAGCCACGGTTCCGTTTCAGCTGCAGAACCGAACAGCACTGCGCTGCAAAGACACCAAAACAGGTAAAAACCGCAAGAAATACACGAAAAACACTTCACAAATACCTGCTGTTTACTTGGTAGTATGCTCAACTTTCCTATCAACTTGAACACTTCTCATTTGGTGGTTAGAACTATTACAGTATTATTAAAAATAACCGAAAATGGTACGTTAATAATAACGTGAATGGAAAAACTACAGATGTATGTGCTTCAGCAGCTGCTCTCTGAATGGCTTCAGTCAACGGTGTTCAAGAAATTTCCCAGTGCACTGAACGACCCCCACCTTATTCCCTACATGTTTTGTGCTCACAAAGCATGGCATGGGACTGAACAAACATAGCAGGTCTGTTGTATCAAAACATTTCTGATGTCTGTTTTAGGTGTTTTTGTTTGCCTGCGGTGTTTTACAAGCTCTCTCGTCCACTGTTCAGCTTATAAGTGTGTGTGTCCACCAGTGCTCAAGAGGTCTGTTTTGCTTCAGCTTAAATATCTGCAGGCCAGGCAGCATCAGGAAAAACAAATTACAACTGTCACATTCCAGTGATCTGCACTTACACACCAGGATGTCAGATTGTGAACAGTTCTCGCATTGTTTTGTGTCGCTCAAGCATTGTGCTGTACAGAAGTATTTTAATTGCTCGTTTAGTATCATGTATAAGGGGTCTCCAGCCTTGGTGTATCAAGAAATGGTAGAAGGACTACAATTTGTGAAATGTGTACATTAAACCTGGTGAATAATAGCATGTATATTATGATATGTTAATATAAAAGTTGTTTAAACTGAAAAAATAAGCTTTCATCCTAATGACTAAGAAGTATTTTAGGTTCAGTAAAGAACCATTTAGTTTTAGTTAAGTATTTTATTTTAATGTTAGTTTATATAATAATTGGATTATTTTTGGGGGGTGAATCTTGTTATTTTAAAGAACATTTGTAGAATAAAACATGTTCATCAGTGATGAAAGTTTTTCATTGAATCACCAATAACAAACTTGTTTTAGGAGTTCACTATTGCATTGTGTTGCATAGGCCTGTCACAATAATCAATATATCAACTAATCGCACAACACATGAACATGACCTCAATCATTTTTGGTGATGCAATGTAAATCACCCGTACATACCCAATTCTAGCAACATTTTAGCTGATTGAACAACATCTCTATCTCTATTGTAGGTGTCAGTGTCAGTATGGTGAAAAAATAGTATAGTATGTACTATAAATTACTTCAGTATATTTTCATTTGGGTGTCAGACAACGGAAAATAGATCTGGTAGAAGATATCACAGCTTCTGTTACTTGTCACCTTTTGTTAACATTTATTATTATTTATTTAGGATATGCGTTTTAACATTCTGACTTCAATCCCTAGTTGTTAAATTGTTCAAATAAATAAAATTAAATATTATGTGTTTTTAGACGAGTGGAGTTGTATTGTGATGATATATTGTTTTTCTGGCGTTAGATGGACTTAAAATGACAATAATATTGGTTGTCGCAATATATTTTGGTGCCATATATCGTACGACAAAAAATAGATATTGTGACAGGCCTAGCATTGCAACTTTTTTCACAAAAATAACTTTTTGATCAAACAAATCAAAAATGATAAAAATATCACGGTATCATGATTACTGCTCTAAAATATATACTTTTTAAATGTCTGGGTAAACATCAAAAACTCTTCCCCCCTCTGAACACAACATATTTTATTTTGTGAAAGATTTAAAATATTTTGAAGCAGTCAGGCTGAATAATTGAAATGAATGATTGACTTCTGCTGTCTTCATAAGTTTCAAAAACACTGATTTCTTTACAATTTAAAACTTCATCTTCGGATATCTTTTTTGCTGAAGATATTGTTGTCCTAAAAAAAAAATTTAAATGTTAATAAAAAATCGTACACAAACCTTAGGAACGGTATTACAGAATTTCCAAACCGCGGTATACCTTGAAAACAATTATCGTCCCAAGCCTACTTAAAAGTCTTGGAAAAATCATGAAAAAGTCATGGATTTTTAGTAGTAAAAATGTGTATAAACCCAGTTTTTAATAACCTGCATTACTTTGTAGTCAACTTTTGTCCAGGTTTAACACTTTTCATTGGTGTCTGGGTGTTTCATGTATTTTAAATCTGCATATTGTCAGATTTATAATACTTTAAAATAGGGCTGGGCGATTTTATTTAAAAAAAAAAATTTTTGGCCAAAAATAAAATCAAAATCTCAATTAATTGAACATTTGAACTCTATTACGATTAATGCATGATTATTTTATTTATGTAATAAATTTTTATTTCATTTTATTTTATTTTTTGCCCTCTCTCTGCCGCCTATACTCTTCAACGCTACCAAGCTGACCGATCACAGTGGTTGCGCTAAGTGTCGTCGCAACAAGTAGTTACTTTTTTTTGAGGGGTCAACGTCAGCATCAGTCACAGCGAGGGGCAGTGTGGGGGAAGTTAGGATGATTCTAAGGGCCTACCCCACTTTCCTCCGGCGCCCCTCACAAGGGTTATGCGAATGCATAAATGCTGCACCAGATGTTGTGATATGATGCTCTCAACGCAGAAGTGTAAACTCCACACGTGGTAGGGAAAGTAATTGAAAAAAATGACCTGGAAAAATCTAGCCGATTTTTCTCAATGTCGATTTCGATTACTTTTCGATGAATCGCCCAACCCTACTTTAAAAAGTCTTGACTTGTTTATAATAGAATGTGTTAATCACAAAGACTCTTTGATTCTCATCTTCACAATGTACAAATGAACTCAACAGTGAGTCTGCAAACAGATTGACTGAAATAACTTTTACCATGCTTTAGCTCAACAGCAAATCCCTCTGGTCTCTTAACATTGAGCTGTTGTCATTAAGCGTTATAGCCCACGCAGACCGAGGCCACTTTCATAGATTTCCACAGAGCTGGAACACCAGTCATTCAAGAAGTTTTACACATGCCTTCCTTACATATTTGCTCGTTAAATATCTAGACACCCTTGCAGCTCTTTCACCTACCACTAAGAGAATCCTTTGTGCAGAATTCATCAGAATTTACTTAAAAATTAAGGTTGATTCATTATTTTATTCAGATCATGCTGACATGTTACTTTAAGTACACGTAAATGGTCTGAAGATTCTTTAGCTGTTTCTGAATGTAGCGCAGTGTCATGGCATGTGTTTATATAGGTACACAAAGGAGCTCAGGCGGGGGTTCAGAGGTTGTGTTCATAGTGTTTGGCTGCATGTAACTTTAGTCCATATGCCAGCGAGTGTATTTTTATACTCTGCTCACCGTGCCTGGAAGAGCGCTCAGGAAGACTGTAAAACATACACGTGCAGCCTCTTTGAGAAAACACAAATGATCTTATAAAACCCGTCAAAAATATGTTCAGGTAATTTTTTTCACACCAAGTGTAAAATGACAAAAAAAAAAGACTTTAGAGAATACAATGAAAAAGAAGATTCATTTGATTTACACAATGTTTTTAAGGTAAGTGGTTGCAAACTATTTATATGTGCTGAATTTAAACAAACAAATTAAGTAGAACATTTTATACATTTAGTTTGTTTCAGTTCAGCCCTTATAAATAGATTGCAAACACTTAAAACATTTTGTAAATCAAATGAATCTTCTTTTTTAGAGTACTTCTTTACTTTTGTAGCATTTATTTAAAGATTTGCCATGACAAAACAGTGATATAGACCATTTCAATGTCATGTCATTGGCCCATGAACATTTCCTGCTTGTTATCAAACTATTTCTGTAATGAGGAAATCATATCATAATTTGACATTAAAACAGCTATCAGAACATTATTTATCAATATGTGGCTCTTTTTGGATTCTCGTAGGCTATGGAAATGTGATATGTGATGTCATCATATACAATAATACAGCTATCTAGTATACAACCACTCATTGGCTAGTAATTAAAGTCTTTTGTGAAAGGTAAAATTAGCACAAAATATCTTTTTCAAAATACATTCTTGTATATCTATAAGTCATCATAAGTCAGTTTTTCGAAGGGTAAGAAAGTGGCAGTCTGATTCAACCACATCTGCTTAAGTCATGATGTATGAAATATTGTTTCAGGGTTCAATCAGCTACTCATTTCAAGTGAGAAAATATTAGTTTATGACCATGTTTTGGTCATTTCACACATGAAGGTGAATTTTATTTAAAACATGTTGTACACTACAGTCTCTGGACTTGCTATATATATATATATATATATATATATATATATATATATATATATATATATAGCGATCAAGATTTTTGAAAGTATTACATCTCTTTGAAAACGATATTACCATTTTTTAAGTCTCCCCACACAGTTTGAGAGCACTTGGACCTGGAAGCACTTAAAAAGTGGATATTGTTGAAGGAATGTTAGGAGTGGAAGAATACATTAGAATACATTTTCTAGCTATATAAGCACAAAAGTGTAACCCAGATTCTATTCCATGACAAAGTTGTAGACTAGTTTTACAAGTCAAAAGATAAATAGCTGGAAATGGGGCAAAAGGTTTACCAATAATCTTCTTTATTGCAAGAAGTGAAAGTTCAGATCTTATATTCAATTGGCAAACAAACGTTGTAGTCAAAAATAATAGTTTTTCATTCAGTTTATGGAAAGATGATGTTGAAAAAAGATGCATGCTTTTCATTTAAGCATTCAAATTTGAACTATTGTAATGTGCTATTGTGAAGTATGTTAACCAACACTTGCACCATCTTTCCACATTTGCACCAGACACTTTCTTACAATCCCTACATGTATCTTTAAAAGAAGTGCATTTCTGAAGTGTGCTTCACACAGGTGAGTGGGCTTGACAAACCACCTTTAGAAACACTCTTCTCTATTTAAAAAAACAGTCTCCCCCTCATTAATCCTCAAAAATGTAGTCCCGATAATTATTTTCAATATTGAACGATAACTGTATATATTTCGAGATATATTATATATAGTTAATTATTTTTTTTTTACTTCGTATATATTTAGAAGTTTTTAATCCTTCCAGATTTAAAAGGGTACCCCAATAATGACTGAAGCCACAAAAATAAGAGGGTCCACTGAATGGCATAACATTTTCAGTGGATAAATTTCCAATGTTGCACATTTATGCTGTGTGATTGGCTCTTAGATCAATATAGAGTAAAAAAGCCCAGTGGTTATTATTGTTATTGACATAAATTTGGTCAAGATTCAATATAATATCCTTCATCGGCCCAGCTCTAGACCATATAACTCCAAATCTAGCCTATTTGCACTGGATACAAGTTAAACAGCAAATTGTTTTAAAGCCATAAATGCTTTGGCTTCAGACTCCAGAGTACATCAAAGATCTGTCATTTCAATCTTCCTCGAGATCATTAAGATCAGATTATGCTGAAGGTCCCATGCAGTGTAGAGGTGATCTTGCATTCTCAGATATAGATTGTGGTGCTCTTCAACCTCTCTGTCAGTGTTTAAATCGCGTATTAAGGCCAATTTGTTTTATAGCTCAGTATTATGTTATATGCAGCTTGGTGTCATGTTGGTATGTTGTGTCATTAGGATTTTTGTTCTTCTTTTACAGCACTTTGGTATACCTAAATGTTTTTTAATGTGCTTTATTAAAAAAAAAAAAAGATATATTGATCAATTCTAGGGATGCTCCGATCAGGATTTTTGCAGCCGATACAGAGTACCGATATCTTATTATGGTCATCGGCCGGTTCAGAATACAGATTCTGATGCTTTAAGCTTTATATAACCTTACCATTGCATAAAGCACATTTTCCCTCACGCTCCTCACATAGTTTACCTCCTAACTTGTTGGAGCTGCTGATGCATAATATATGGGTGCACACATGCGTCTTCGTCTGCTTGTAAACTCATAAACATAAACACTTGCGATTGATTGATGAGATCAGCCAGATTAGCTAGTACCAATCAAGAGATGAAATGTGATTATGTGATACCTATCTCTGGCCGATCAATCGGAGCATCCTTAATCGATTCTGCATTGAAAATGTATCATATATAAAGTATTAGTTAAAGTCAGATGGGGACATTTGCTGTATTTTCATTTAATCACCTTACAACTTCAGTCAAACCACACAAATATGAATATCTTTATGTTTGGAAGAGAAAAACTTCATTTACACATAACTGACTAATTAATTTGGCAAAAAAAAAAAGAGACAAACTACAGTTAATCATTGATTATTAGTTTTATTTTACTATGCAAACATACACCTTATGAATCGAAAAACAAAGAGCTTGCAAAAAATACATCCTAGTTTGTTCAAATTTAATTTGCTCTCTTCAATTTTTAGTATAATCTCTATTTGATTAGCAGCCATTCTCTACTGAGTCTTCCTCAGTAAGCAAGCATGCTTTAAAAAAAATGAAAGTGTATCACAAATGAAACAACTGAAATTCAGAACACACACTTTGAAAGATGCTGGGTATTACACACAATCAATTTCTGTTGCGATTAACATAAAGGAATTAAGTGAACTAATTGGTTTTTACAAATTTAAGTGGATTCAACTTAAAACAATTAAATTGTCCCCCAAGAACCTTGTGAACTGTGTTGTTTTAGCTGATTTAAAATAAGTACTTTGAACAAACAGCTAACATATTTTTGAGTGGAAGCAAAAGTGCTATCAACTATCAAAATTCTATAAATGTATACACCATAAAAAGCCTTTAGTAATTTTAATTAAAGTGAGTTAACTTGTTGCCTTAAAGGTGACAAGTTGACTTGACCAGAAAACAGTGAGTAAATCCTTATAACTGTTTAAACTTTTTTTAAATTGAGTTTTTATAATTATGTACATACTTCATGTATTTAAAATGGAAGCAATAGGTTTACTTATTTTCTGAGTGAACTACTTTTTAAAGTGTATTTGCATATGTTTGTATATGCAGTGCTCAGCATAATTGAGTACACCCCATTTTGAAAAAAATTTTTTTTTATCCATTTCTCAGTGAATATAGACAATGTATTTTGGTGCATTTAAGCAAAACAGATTTATTAAACAGATATATTTATTAAAATAATATTTTAGTCACAGAACATCTTTATAAATTGAAAGATAATACAATTAAATCCAAGCAAAATATTGCAAAAAATAAATTACAACCTACAAAATTTCAACAATTTTTCATTTTTTTCTTCTTCTCTTGATTACCCCCCCCCCCCCCCCCCCCCTCTTTTATTTTATTTAATATTTTTCTATAACATATAAATTTAGGTGTACTCGTTTTTGGATCGTTATCGCAAGTTATTTTGTTCGATAAACTCCAGGTTTGGCTTCAAGACTGACTAATCTAATGTATATGCACAAATATAGTACTCTATAGCTTCCTATTTAAATATGAATTTAAAAGGTAGATTTGTGAGGGGCGAACTTGTATATGCTAAGCACTGTATATGTACATCTCTTTTTTAAGTTTTGACTTTTGAGGTTAAATGTACTGTAATTTGTGCATATTTTTGTGATTCACTGACACACTAGTTGCATATCTATATCAGACTAACCACACATAAACCTTAACCCTTACAATGTCTCACATTCATCCACATAGTCACCCAACCTGCTTGATTACACACCCTTAAACTCAGTGATAAAATACTCTCTGTACTAGACAAGTATGCCTTGTTTAACGCCTGACAGTAAATAGTTGCCATCAAAAAGTTTCCCGAAGTCACTCAAAAACCCCAGGGGCTGGGAGGAGTTGAATGGATCCAGGACCAGCCTGAAAAGGTCAGAGATCAGGTGTACTGTTGTATTTGTTTCTTTGACTAGACCAATGCGCTGAAGAATACGATCTGTTGTACGTGCAAATGTGATCCTCTGAAGTATTTTTGGGCCAGAGTCCGATACCTCTCAACCACAGTGTGTTGATGAAGCACCAGGATGTTCAGCATCCGCTACGACAACAGCATCTATTTATAACATGTCTTTCATGCAGGGAATGTGTGTCAGTTTGATGTACAAGCTGCTGAAAGCGCCAACTCATGGGATAAATGTGAAAAGGATATTATAGACAAACAAATTGTCAGAATGATACGAGAGTTATGGTCAGTGGTGCAGCGGTTAGTGTGTGTTCGTGTGCATTTTCTCCCTTCTGGCTATGTTTGGTAATTCAGTTATATTAAAAATAAGAACTTATTTTTACTCCCTTGACATCCATCACACTGTTAAGTTCAATGGTTCAATTGTTGTTTTTTTAATCATAAGTTAAGCAGATTTCCCACCTGATTCCTAAATAACAAAATACTATAAAAGGTATAAAAATGCTTGACATCATGTTCTGTAAAAGTAGTGAGTGAAACTCAGTATGTTAATGGAACAGAATTGCACGTGTAGAGCATTCAGTTGTAGGCATGGGCCAGTATAAGAGTGTGGCGGTATGACAACCTTGGATAAAAATATCATGGTTTGATGGTATTGTGATTACAGTTTTAAAATATGTGCTTTTTAATTGTATGGGTAAAAGATAATTTAAAAATTCACCTTTGAAGACAATATATTTTCATGTTGTAAAATATATTGTGTTCAAATGTATTGTGTTCTAATATAGTCATGTTGGAAATCAACATTTTTTAACCATTTTCCAGAATTAGGGTTGGTATCATTTGGGGTTATTTCGATACCGTTGCTAAATCGATAGTTTTAAAAGTGTACCAGTGCCTGAACCGATTCTTTTGAGCAACAAAATAATTTAACTTATTATTATTTTGTCATTTTAATTAAACAATATAATTAAAGTTTAACGTATGCATCAATTTATATCTTGCATATTTTAATTGCATTAATATTTTTCTTTTGGTCATTTGATTGTTAGCATGAATTTAAAATTTGCATTATACAATTGGCATTACATAAGCTTACTACTAGACTGTGTAAAGGCTGCCATCAAAATAGTCAACTCTTTTTTTTTTTTCTTTTTTTTTCTTCTAGGGATGGAGCTTGTGACTACGTGTACATGAACATCAGTCATCTAAATATTTTAATATCAACACTTCTAAATTGCCGTTGTTGCACATTTCTTCGTTTTATGAATGATTCAATAAAATTAATTGCTGTCAATGTGTCAATTACAATCGGTACAATTTCATAGGCCGGAATGCTTTTTAAATCCTCACACAGTCACAGGCCTCATATATATATATATGTATGTGTGTGTGTGTGTGTGTGTGTGTGTGTGTTAATTAGCTTTTTATGATTTAAAAACTAATCTCGAAGTTATGATTATCTGTGAATTTTTAGCTGAATGCAAGACAAAGGGACGTCCGCCGAAGCCAACCTTACGTCGGACCCTGTCTCTGGACACTTTGGTGGGGCCGTACCTGCAGGGCAACTGGCCAAGAGAACCAGAGTGTCAGCCTGTTACCTGTGTCAACGACAAAGCCACACAGGTGAGATTTCTTCACATGAACATTTTCATTTTTGAGAGAACTACTGCTTTAACGCAGTCTGCGATATTTTTAGCAAACAAAGGAGGTCCTGTCTGACCATGTGGAGTTGCTTCTCAGTGGGGAGTAAAACAAACCATTGGTTTGATCTGCTTGTATGATACACATGCAGAATTATGCACAGCTGTTTTAACACTTGTGTTGTTTGCAAAGTATAGTTTTCAAATGGACAGGGGATTTTCATGTTTGTTTTAGAAAGCTGAAGTCAGGCGGTTGCTAATGAAAGATCTTGGCTTTGGGGAGAAAGATTTTGGCCGGTATTGGAAGAACTTTAGGAAAACTCAGCTGGGAACGGCAGCCATATTGTTTTTTCCAAATGGGTTCCATATGGGCTCCTGGAGCACTGCTCCAACATGCCTGCTGGAGTTTGCCGTATTCAGACAAACACAAAAGGTGGAAGTCCCACTGCTGTGGCTGTTCATTTTAACTCCGAGTTAGCTCAGCTAGTTTGTAAAGATTTCACACTGTCAACAAAGTTTGATAATACAAGAAAAGTCACATTTGTATGTAATGGTTCCTGTTTGTTCAAGTTCTCTCTTGAAAAGACCTGTTTGCTTCATAAAACTGATTAATGGCATTGGCATGAATGATACCTCAAATTATGCTACTTATCTATGAGAGCTGTCTGAATGTTGTTACTAAGCAATCAGACTTGTAAAGATTTGTGCAGAGGATTTAAAAAAAGATAACAATCCCAGAGAAAAAGATGTAAGAGCTGTATATTGTTAAGTTTGGTATGTAGAACTATTCTGATTAGATTCTCGTTTACATGCTCTTGCTTTGTATTTTATAGTTGTACTTTTAATAAGATTCTGGTGTTCGTTTTGTTTAAGGTTGTTAAAGGCATTTTATAATGTTCCAATTTAAAGTAATTATCCACAACAGTTTTCAAAACTGATAATAATCAAAGAAATGTAGGGTAGGGTAGAGAAATGTCCTTCAGCCGGGATGATCTTAGGACGCCCTGACGTGTTACTGCACCATACCTGTATGTCGACGCACTAACCACTAGACTATTGCACCGACTTTAAGTTGTGTGTTAACAAAGTTTATCAAAGTTTATCATAGTCTCACAGAGACACGTTTAACTGTATATGCTACATTTTTGTGTCATATTTTACATTTTATCCCATTGAACCACTGTTTTTGGAGTGTGAAACATCTATTTTTTACTAGAGTGGATAAATCTAAAATGACATACCCTAGTGTTTTTCTATGAGCCTCCTTGACCATAGTCAGACACTCGTATAACAGCAACAACAACAATTACAGACAGACTGCATATTTGTGTTTATCCTGCAGAAGCTACTGAGCTAAACAGCTTTACTTAAAAAAAAAACATTTGTCATCTTTTTCGTTTGCATAAATTGTGCAAAGTTTTTGTGTATTCTTTTCAGTTTTTTTTAAAGTGGGAGAAATAAGTACTGAACACGTCACCACTTTTTTCAGAAAACACATTTCTAAAGGTGCTGTTGACCTGAAATTTTTACCAGATATTGATGACAACAAAATTAATCCATTTATGAAAAGTAAACAAATCTAAACAGTTTACAAATGAAGTTATGTGTACTAAAAGGGAAGATGTAAAAAAGCATGGAAAGCCCAGACAGCCGCTGAAATCTCTTTTATTCAGCAAATAATGAAGAAATGATGATGAGAAATAAAGAAAGGAATGTGTAGAAAAACATGGAAAGCCCAGACAGCAGCTGAAATCCTTTTATTCAGTAAGCCCTGCCCTTCCTCATTGTACATGAATATTAGCCGTTTCAGTCCAACATCTACATTATCATTATGATGAAGATGAAACCAGGGTGGACTTTTTATAACGACAATGATCCAAAACACAGTCAATCATACTGTGAAATGATTTCAGAAAAAGATAAATAGAGAATAAAGTAAATATAAAATAAAGATCAGTTTGCATAAGCAGAAGCCACACAACCATTAAGGTTTTTACACTGTTGAAGTCGTGTTGAATACTTATTTCCCCACTGTATCTCTGTGGTATAATTACAGTGCATTATACATGTCTGGCATGTATGCTACATAATATTTAGTTATTGTCAGTAGTATGCAGATATATTTTGAGACGATTGTATAGTATTGTGGACGTAGCCATCGATGCCCATCCAGGCCGTCTGTGTCTCTCAGCAGGTGATCTGCACTGATGACCGGTCACCCAAGAAAAGGTTTTGTTTAACATGACCTTCATAGTGACCGTCCCCCTCAACCCCTGCCACACACATACAATGCCCGAGCGCAACCCCCATTCACACTCTATTTTCACATATTCACTTTGAATCATCCCGTTCTTGACTGACAAACTCAACCTACTTTAAAAGTGGGCATTCAACAGTTAACAATCATACAGTCTTAAGACACTCCCATCCCCCCTCTCTCCGAGTTCATCCCGTCCAATGCAAACGAGGACCTCTGAAACTTTAGCCAGCATCCAGCGTGCTGCGCATACAGACCCTCAAACCCAATGTCCGTTTATAGGCTTAATCCCAACACAGCTTGATGTGGGTGGGTGGGTGGACGAGTGGGTGTCCAGGCAGAAAGGAGTAAGGGCCAAATTTAAATTTAAATCCACTCACACCCCTGCCCCCCAACTCGGCCGTGTGAAACTTCCAGCCACTAAGCGGACGTGGTTTACTCCCGAACTTGCACCCTGGGGGCTGGAGGTGATGACATGTTTTAATACGCCTCACTTCAACTGCGTGTTTGTTACATTAGCATCCCAAGCGCACTAAATAATCTTGACCTCTGACAGAGACAGGAAGAGAGGGATCGAGACACCAAAGGAGGACAGTTTTTGTTTTTTGAGGGGGGGTGTGAATCTGTGATAAGCTTTGAGATTGTGATCACTCATTGGGCCACTTGGCATTCAGTGTTTGATATAGTACACAAGTGTGCACTAGTTGGACTTTTCAACCCAAGTCAACTCAGCAGGATTATATGACGGTATGCACGTGTCTGTCTGTCTTTCTGAGTGCACTTGAAAACTAACTTTGATGTTGCATCTTTTGAAATGTGGTGCAGCCGGTGGTCGGAGAGTCGGTGGTTTCTATCATGCATGTCTCCGCACAGCTGTGTGTGTCTGTGTGTGTTGGGTGTATCTGTGTGCTCCAGGTGTGTCACATATTCTGTCTCGTATTCAAATACGTTTATCGAGGCGAGGAAGCAGCTTTCAGTTCCATTTGTCAAGTACAGAAAACATGTCAACACTTGGCGAATGGGGTGCACACCTCTCAGGAGTGGATGCTTTTGCTGGAACTGGTGCATGAAAGAACGGCTTGCTTTGGCTTTGTGTGTGTGTGTGTCTTAGTCGAGGGTGGGTTATCAGCGGTCTTGCGTTCAGTGGAATATTTTATGTAAAGTCTTTGAGGGTGTTTGGGATAGCTGGTATTCATAGAGGGGTGGTTGAGTTTGGGTTATCCCGAACAAGCTTTGATGTTTCCCTGAGAATGCAATGTGGGTGTGAGGTTTGGAAAATAAGGTCACTTTGAAAGTCAAATCAACCCTCACAATGGCTGTTTTATAATTCCAAGAACACATAGAATGGACTCGTGTTCTTGTGGAGACCGGTCTTGCGAAGTTATGAACACGGGAGAACGCGTCCTGTGAGAAATGAAATGCTGTGTTTTTGTGATGATCACATGATCTTCATGCGTTTTTAACGGAAAATTATTTAAACGCTACAGCATCAATACAATTATTTATTGTTTTTCCCCTTGTTGCAATATTTACTATGCATAAAAACCATACAAATATACGTCACACAATACAAATTTTAATACGAATTTCAGCAAATAAACACCCTTAATGTGTTTATGCATTTATTAAGATTTTCATGTTTACTGTCATCCTCTCATTTAGGGAAACTCCTGAGATAAATAAGTTCTATGACTGAACTTTAATAATAAATCTATATAAAATGCTGCGCTTCCCACCTTCTTTATTCATCCACAATGACGTCTGGGACTCGAGCGAGTTTTGCACTCAAGTCTGTATTGATGCATCCTCGATATCAAGAACACATTCAGCAACTTCCATGCGTCCTCTTATTTCGGTCTTAAGTTTTGAAACTGTACTTTGGTGGTTGATATGAACACGAGGACGCAAGAACTCTGAAGTTCACAGCCATTGTCTTGTTTCTTAGACTCCCAGTTCCTGGATCGAGGAGACGCGGGGGCGGAGAGGAGGCGGCGGACATAAGCGCTCGGCATCATGGGGGAGCGCCGAACACCTACGAGAGGTGAGTATTTATGATATTTGAGACACAAAGTAGTTTCACTTTAAGGCTCAGCATGTTTTTTTTCTCCTTATGTAAGCCATTTGTGAATGCATAATTGTTTATTTACATTTACTTGGCCTATACTCTAAAATTGACCAGTTCAGTCTCTATAAAATGCTTATTTAAGACATCCTTGTTTCGAAATATCAAATTGTTATTAAAAAATCTCTTGTTTAAAAACCATGGAAGGATTTGTTTTAGAGTTATATATCAGTAGTACAGTAAAACAGTCATATTTCCTGAAAAACGCCACTACAGTCACTCAAATAATTTCATTAAAGAATAAAGTTTCAACAAATTATTATTTAATCAAGTAAACTAAAATCAAATGTTCAATCAACCAAATCAATACATTAATAAAAGAAAAAAAAATAAAAGCAAACAACCTTAAAAACCAACACATTTTTGTTTATAAGCCAAAGTTTAAAGGGCTGTATCCACAGCTAGAGTATTAAAGCTAACTATAAACTTTTGGTAAAAGCTTAATGTGACTAATTACAAGGTTGTTTGTACAGCTTCGATGTTGCTGGCTGTGTGCAAATAGCCCATTTCCAGGCCTAGGCACATTACCTATTAATAACCTTTACATTCCAATCCACAAGGGATAAAATATAAAATCCATTTCCATAAAAATGTAAATCAGTTAAATCGCTTTAGAATATGCAAAACCAATGGTAATAAAAAAAACAATAATAATAATGTCAAGGCAGAAATCATCGCACATGGACAAATTTAGATAACTCTATCTTAGCTCAACATAGTAGATTTTCCACTTGTGCATGCTGAAACGACTGTGTAATCAGTGCACTTTCAAATATCCCTTCACTTCATGTATGTTACTGTAGATTTTCCATATATATATTATAGAAATATTATTTATTATATTCTATAAATATAAAAAAAATATAATAATGGGTCAAGCGTTGACGCTGAAGCCCTGTGTGAAAGCACCAAAGGGAAGACTAGCTTCTCAAGTTGTTGGCAAGACATGACTTTTTTTTATGTGGAGCAACGACCAGGATCTTTTCGTTTTCAATTCAGTAGAATCAATCTACTTCTTAAAAATAATTTTTATTTATTTTTTTTGTGTTGTAACATTGTAAATGTCTTTAAAGTCACTTCTTATAAATGTAATGCATCTATTGCTAAAAGCCTCAATTATTATTATTTTTAAAAATGTATTTAACATTTTTACATTTTACAAACACACCAAACAACCCATATAGAAATAATTAAAATAAATAAATGAAAATAACATACCCAATTACACAACTAAATGAGCGGCAGATGTCTACACAGATGTATTATTATTGTCAACAGCTAGCAAGAGTTAGTGCTTTAACATAAGAAAAAAAAGGCTTCAACAAACTTAACAAACATTCTGTTATGTCTTTGAAGGGAGTATCTAATCTTCTCTAGTTTCACAAAATACAAAACCTCTTTCAGCCACCGTACATGTGAGGGTGGCTAGGGGCTCTTCCAGTTTAATAAAATTACACGCCTAACAAGTAAAGGAAGAAAGTCCACAAAGTTTTAAAAAAGCATCAATTATCGAGCAAAGAAAAGTAATACTGATGCTAAAATGTCATGGTGTAATAACAATATGTAAGATAAAAGTGTTACTTTATATGAATGAAAAATTATTTTGGTCACATCAACCGGCAATTCTTACAGTTTAACATTTTTGAGAATAATAACAAGAACTATTTGACAACCCAATCAATAAGCTGATTTAGAAAATAACAATAATAATAATAATAATAATAATAAGAAGAAGAAGCATCAAATACAATCAAATAAGGCAATTATTTTTAGCCTATTATTCCCCAAATTAATCCAGGCTACTGTATACCGTGTATTTTTTGGAATAGGTTTATGCTAATTCTAATTCTAGCTACTTATTTGACTTTTTTGTTGTACCCAAGCTGCCTAGTCAATCCACATAGAATAGCTTACTTTTGAACATCAAATTACTTTCAAATAAAGAATCGACTTCACTTTAAAGTCATAGCAGGTTAGGTTTCTACTTACTCTTCACATTTTTAAGTTTACATCTGCTACTCTAATTCTCATGTTTCTATCCCCCAGGTTGCTAAACTTCGCCAGTCCTTACAGAAACGCTCCAGACATGCGCCTCCTGCCATGGACTGTGACCACACACACCAAAACATACACAATAGTCAAACACACACTCCTGGAAGTACACAGGTAAACGCACAAACCACAGGCCTGAGCAATTTTAGAATGCATCTCGACCAGCTTGTTAGTTTATAGTAGGAGCATCAATAGGAGGCATGAGGGCATTTATAAAGGCTGCACTTGTTTATGTACTGCGATTATGAGCTAAGCCTCTCAAATTGGCCCTCATCTCACTAGCAACAGAGATTTAAAAACAGAGCAGCTTTATTTAGACGGTGTCAGTGAACTACAGCTATTGATATGGCAGGAACACTCACACACAGCTGGTTGTTTGGCTCTGTTTTGTACAGTAGTAGATTTAAATAGACAGGAGGATATGTATAAATCGCTCGTTTTATGCATGTCTATTATATTCTACTGATAAAATTGTGTATTGAGGTTAAACATAACCTAAAAATAAATAAATAAAGACATGCGTACAAGCATTCACATACAGGCTGTTACACCTGACTCAAAGATGTAACATTAAAGTCAAAATAAAGTCAAAAATAATATTTATTTTCGTATAATTAATAATAAAACAAACATCAGTATCAGTGTGAAAGGAAAGTGAATGGATGCCATAAGTGTTGTCAGCGCTGGTGTATGGATACAAAACAAAAAGCCCAAATTGGAGCACAGCTCTGATCAACTCCCCAAACCATGAATGAACAGCAGCCCCGACAAACTAATTTTTAATAAGGATGCTGACGAGCATCATGTTCGCTAAAGGCGAGCCCAAACCTAGAACAGACAAAACATACAAAAAAAAAAAAACTAAAACAACACAGTCCTAACACAGCCTGTTAAAAGTTTGGAATAATTAATAATAATAATAAAAAAATTGTCAGCTCCTATAACCTTGTGGGTTCCTTGAATTTAAGTCCTGGCTTGCGGATCTTTCCCCACTCCCTCTCCCTTTCCAACTTAACTTGCTGTTAGTATTCTATCATATCATAAGGCAAAAAAAAACCCACAAAAAATGCTAGAAAAAAAAAATCTATAAATTAGACGGATCATTTAATATTTTATAATATAATAATATATAATTTTATAATTATAATATATATATAATATATATATATTTATATATTAGTAAATGTATTTTTAATAGCTTTTTTAAAATGATTTGTCTTATTTATAGATTTTATTTAAAATTTTCTTTTTTGTGGGTGTTTGTTTTGGTGGGGGGCAGCTAATAATTCTGACTTCAACTGTATATAAACAAGCTTATTGACAACACAAAGTCGAACAACCATGTAATTTTTTATGTAATTCATTTGTTTAATTTAATATTAACTTCACTCAATGAGAATGTTGGGCAGAATGTTTACAGCACAAGAATATTCTTTGGTTTAAAGTCGTGGCCTTTATTTTTAATGTAGGTGAGAGCTGTAAAAGGTGTCAAAGTTTATCATTGTGCCACAAAATCAATCTGCTGTAACTAACACTATTGCTGTTTCATTAATCTAGCATAATAACCCTAGGGGTCTCAATCCAATGAAAACGAATTGAAAGGCTGATGGCTTCTTATTTGCATGTTGTTTTTTATGTAACTACTAAATACTATTTTTATCTGCTGTAGGTTATGGATAAAATATGGTAATTCTAATAGTTTAAAAACATATATTTTTGGAAATCACCAAGCGACCCCCACTTTGGGAACCACTGCTGTGCCATAGTAGGAAAAAAATACAGTACTAAAGTAAGCACTTAAATACTGTATATTATGTACCAGATTATCCTCAAACCCGACCACCCATTGAGATTTACAGCTTTTTTGTCACTTTACACAGTCTAACAGTTGTGTGTGTGTGTTTGTGTGTGCAGACGATGCCTCTGATTCCTCTGAGTCGACTGGCCCCCAGACTGAGACGCAGTGTGGAAGGACTGAACCTGGAGCTGGAGGGAGTCTTTGTGTCTGAAACAGCAAAAGAACAGCACAAAGTCAGTGTGTGTGTTTTGTCTTTTTTAAGCAATGTTTCTGACCCACAGGTTCAGCTAGGAATCATCGGTAATTACCCATGTGATTTGTGTGTGTTTGTTCAGATTCTGGATGTACCAGATGGTCACAGAGCCCCCGTTCCAGTCCAGAGGTACAGCAGCGCTTCACAAAGTGACCCTTCTCCTGCCCAGCTGTCCCCCTCACACTCGCCCTGCACCATCACAGAAACCGGTCAGTCTGTAGTTGACTCAAAATCTTGTGTTTCATTACTTTTTTTACCCATTTCCTGAAAGTAGCTAATTATACTATAGAAAAGATGGCACATTATAAAATGATGGACAAATTAGTCAATATTAGGGCTGCACAATATTGGAAAAAACTGACATTGTGATAGTTCGTTTTTCTGCCATTTTATATATTGCGATATGAATATAATTTCACAAGATGACTCTATTTGAAAAGAAGTCCTACGTTTATATTGATTGGAATGATATGTAGAGGAGTACGTCTGTATGAATTATTCAAAATTACACAAAACAAAATAAATTAAAGGATGGATGAAAACAACAGAGCAAGGATAAAGATGAAATAAGCAAAATTTAATGATTTTCAGAGGGTTGAACCGTTTTAATTATGAAAATTCAATATATAAAATGGAAAATAACACTGCATATAGTCTTTATTGTATTAAATGATTTAAACAAGTAGGCCCAATCCCAATTCTACATACTTAGTCCAGGAGTGTCCAAACTCGGTCCTGGAGGGCCGGTGTCCTGCCGATTTTAGCTCATCCCAGCAGGTGTGTTGAGGCAAGTTGGTTTCTAGAAAGCCTAGTAAGAGCTTGATTAGCTAGCCCAGGTGTGTCTGCTTGGGGTTGGAACTAAACTTTGCAGGACACCGGCCCTCCAGGACCGAGTTTGGACATGCCTGCCTTAGTCTTTCCCCTCACCCCTACTCCTCGTTTTGCGCATTCATGTGAAGGGGCAGGGGTGTCCCAAGTCTCTTTAGCTTGAAGGCGTAGGGCTAAGTTGGAAGGACTAGATAGCCTTTTAAATGGAGATTTTTCAGGACCACACTCGAAACCAAGGGGTAAGTAAATTTCCCATAAAACACCAGCCACAACCGCTGCATGGCTGCACACGGAAGTCAGGAGATGCACAAATTAGTATTTTTTTTCATTAATATGAATTTGTACAACAAACAAACATATCTTTTAATATATTCATAACAGTTTTTGTGTTTTACCGTCATGCTTTTAAAAAAAAAGCTTAAAATAATCCCTAATCATAACTCCTGTATAAGCAGTCCCACAACATTCTGTCTCTCAATGACACTTGAATACCCTGTCAAAAAAGTCTAGTGGCTGGAAATGGCCTTTCTACACTGTCTGCTATAATGTAAATGTTATTTTCGTTTGTTTACATTGATAAATGTGGCCACAGTGTGAATGCACAGTAGTTACGAGGTTATTGCCACGTGATATCGTTATGATAACATGATATCGTTGTCTTCAGTGATTTGCTAAAGATAAATACCAAAAAATAGCACAACTGGAATAACTACAGCAGTGTCCATCGTCAATCTCAAATGTAGTAAGAGATCGCGATGACGTGTGCAGGTGTTGTATTGGTGTCCCATTTTTTAGGGGTAAATTTTGAAGCCCTTCCCCTTCACACTCCGTTTCAAGGAGAAGGGATAGGGGTACAAAAACGGAACCGGGATTGGGCCTTAATCTTTGCTAATCTGGCAAACTTTACAATTTCTTGTGCTCAAATAGTTTAAACTCATTTGAATCCCTACAGTCACAGGCCTTAAACACATCCAAATGAAAGTGTTTCATATTATAAGATTAGAGTTAAACTTTGTTTGCTCTGAACTGTTTTCTAGTTACTTTTAATTTCATTTTGACATTGCAGATCCTGCGATGTGACTATTGCAGATTTGCAAATTGCGATATCGATGCTGAAACGATATATTGTGCAGCCCTAGTCAATATATTATGAATTGTGATTTGAAACAGTTCAAGCTTGTGAGCTCTTTCAGCTCCACAGCATTATAGGGAACAATACAGGAATTATTTTTTACCATCAGCAATTGTATAATCAATGTCAAATTAGACGTTAAATGTGGAATTTTAAGTGTATAGATTAGTGTACTTTTATACTTAAAGCTAAGGGGTGCGTATTATATAGACCTTTTTCTTAGAATGCAAAATTACCCATTATGCTTTGCATGTATGCGCAAGGAGGATGCTTCGAGTTCGAACTTCCAGTAAGCAGCTGATGCGAATAAAGAGTCACATTCGAACTGCTTTGAAACGATAGTTTTAATCTATTTTACTTGCTTTTAACGTCTTTGAACTAATACTGATGTTGATCAGCGCCACCTCGTGGACTGATCATTGAAAAAAAAATGCAATCTAAAAGGATGGAAAACAGCTGCTGTGAGGTATTTTTCCCTCGTTGTCAGACGGCAGCTTGTGTCATTTAAATGAAGCCTCGTTATCGCTAAAGTGATCATTTTCTCTTTCTTTCAAATATATAACCAGCCCAAACAAATGCAATTCACCAAAACAGCTAAACACTGGTGCTATATTTCAGCATTTGATCTGACGGCAGACACTAAATTAGGAGAACGTTTTTCCCTCGCACTTGAACCACATCTGACCGAAGTATAACAGCTTTAACACATCTTTCTTACAAAATTAAAGTTTTGCATCACAAAAACACTCTGTAAGCCACTGAAAACAGTTGAGAAAGGCTGCTGTGGCTGAGGACAGTTCTTAATGAAAGTTCTAAGTACCGTTCCTGAAGGCGCTGATCACTATGGCGCCCTCCATGCAGCAATGAATAAAAAGCTCTATAGTGAGCTCTGCTGTTACATGTTAATTTCCGTTTGGGATTATTAAAGTCTTAACTAACCAAGAAATTTTGTGGTTCATTCCACTGTGTTGACCCCTGATAAGCCAAAGCAAAATAAGTGAGAGAAAAGTAGCAGTTTTCAGCGACTTCATACATTTATCTCCATTTGCCCTTTTCATATTCCATATCAAGCTGAGAATATGGAGAAAGTGATTGTAAAAAAAAAAAAAAAAAAAAAAAAGCTCAAACTGAACTTGCACTTAGGGTCATTGTTCATATTTTGTTATCAGCATGTGACAGGAATTTCTGTGTGAAATTGTTTTTTTTTTTTGTTAATACATGTTTGGCTGATGAGTGTTTATTTGGTTTGTGTGTGTGTTGTGTTTAGATATGGTTGTGTGCGGGCCACTCTGTCCCGCTTCCTCTCCTCCTTTATGCATGTCCGAGCCACCATCGTCTTCTCCTCGTCCCAACAAGACATACGTGTTTCAAAGAGAGCCTCCAGAAGGCTGTGAGAGAGTGCGCGTGTCTGAGGAGGCCATGTAGGTTCAGCATACACACACACACACACACACACAGCTACAGAAACACAGTTGATGACTTGTATCCACGCATGCAGTTGTATATTTAAAAATGGAGCTCTGTGTTGTTGTACCTCCGTTTTGTTGCACACACAACTTACAATTCTCAGTAAACCAGTAACATTCAGCATAGAGTCAAGTCTACTGCTGTGCTAGGTAATTTTTTGAATGGGTCCCAAAAAAGTGGCACAGTACATTTCAATATTTTGGTACTACTTGCATTGAAAACAGAACTAGTGGAAACGAGCCATTAGTGACCCATAGAACAGTACTACAAGTCTGAACTCATGTTATTTTAGTAAACAAAGACTAAAACCATTGGTCAAAATCATTTTGTTAACTGAAGTTATGAAAAATCGCAATAAACAAAGAATTTAAGCTAACTGAGACTATCTAACTGGAATAAAATACCCGTTTAAAAATACATCAGCACTCATTCTGTGGCTGAAAATCTGTCCTGAGGCTGTTTAGAGAACAAAAATTTGCAGATTATATACAAAAACATCTATTCTTTTTTTATAATTTGAACTTTTTATAGATTGTTCGTATTTGCAAATAATGCAGATGAATTTCAAATACAGAGCATTAACATAAACGCAGAACAATACATATAAATTAGGTAAGTAAACTAAACCAGAAAAAAAATTAATTAAAAAAAGAGGGTGAGGGTCCCGTCTGCCTAGGATGATGCAGCTCTGTATCCACTGTGATTCAGCTTTATCCATGTGGCTTAAAGGACAGGGCCACCAAGTATTTATAGGCTTTGGCAAACCAAAACATCTTTTCTATAGAAACTTTTCTTTATTTGTTCAAATGAAAGCTGTAAATGTATAATGTAAACTAGTCATGTTTAACTATATATGATCTTTAATATGAAGATGTTTCTTAATTCCTTGTCTTTTTTACTCTTATTTATTTAAGTAGCATTTTTATGGCTTTGGATTTAGTGTCTGCTCAAACAATTATTTTATCACTATGTTACTATGAGTTAATGCAAGTTGTGCAAACACTAAACCTGGCTCTATTCGACACTGGATGTGTTTTGTTAACTCTGCTAAACTAGAATTAATAAAACTGGAACCAAACATACAGTTAAAGTTAATGATTATCCCTGCTGTGAATTATTGTTTTTTTTTTTTTTTTCAAATATTCCCGAATTATGTTTAACCGAGCAAGGAAATTGTAAACAGTATTTCTTATAATATTGTTTCTTCTTGGGAAATTCCAATTTGATTTATTTCAGGCAAAATAAAAGCAGTTTTTAATATTTTAATACTTTTGGGGTCAATATTTTTTGCCCCCTTAAGCAGTATTTTTTTCTATAGTCTACAGATCAAACCATCTTTATACAATGACTTGCCTGTCCCTGACTTGTCTAATTAACCTAGTTAAGCCTTAAAATTTCACTTTAAGCTGAATCCTAGTATCGTGAAAAATATCTAATCAAATATTTTGTACTGTCATCATGGCAAAGATAAAATAAATCAGTTAATAGAAGTTAGTTATGATCAAAAGTGAGTTAATACAACTATGTTTAGAAATGTGTTAAAAAAATTCTTTCCTTTAAACAGAAATTGGGGAAAAAATATGCACTCCTAAATAATCATTCAGAGGGGTAATAATTCAACTTCAACTGTATAGAAATGTCGGCTGAACTCAAACGAACTAAACCGTTATTGACCCAAACTAAACTGAAATGTACAGTGAATTTAAAAATGGGTTTAAACTAAAAATTAATTTCACCCAGGAACAAGAGTTGGGGCTCACCATCAGTGAAATAGAATGGGATTATATACTCAATTTTGTACACAGTTCTTCTATATGTGCCCGACACAATTTAATGCAATGCAAGATTTTTCACAGAACACACCACACTAATGCCAGATCAGCCAAAATATACCCAGATAGAAGTAATACTTGTAATAGGTGTCAACAATGTCCAGCAAATCACACACACGTTTTGGTCTTGTCCAAGATTGACAGTGTTTTGGTCTAAAATATTTGATATTTTTGAAAAAAACTTTTAATATATCAGCCTCTCCAAACTCTCTAACAGTATAATTCCTTTTGGGCCAAATTTGCCTTCAACAACACAGAACGTTGTGGCATTCACCACATTATTGGCTAGGAGGATTCTTCTCCTTAAGTGGGAACAAACATCTCTTTAAATTTGGAAAAAAAAAAATAGGTTTTCATTAAGATGGTTTGTAAAATCTGTTGTTGAACCTTTGTTGAATATATTGATCTTGAAGCACAAGAGGAATAAAGCATTTTTTATTTTTTAAAATGTTATTATCATTATTTATTTTGTACATTTACTGTTATTTAATAACTATATTGTTTTTATGGTCATTGGTTTTTAGTTGTGAACTAGCAGAACAGTGTATTACTTATTTTTGTATGTATATGAAATTGCGTCTGCACGAAATGCTTATAAATATATTTGACAAAAAAATAAATAAAAACTGATTTAAAAATACAAAACTATAGTATTAACCTTGATCTGAACACATCCTAAATAATTTGATCTATGAACCCTAATACTAACCATTCCAGGGTATCCGTGGGGTCCTAAAAAGTCCTAAAACTTCTTAAATTTCAAAAACCAAATTTTAGGCCTTAAAAAGTCTTAAATTCACTGAAATATTTTGTTGTAGGTCTTAAATAATTATAAACAGGTCTTAGTTTTTAAATCTTAAGCTTAATAATATAAATCTCAGCTTAATTTTCATACATCCTAGTAAAGCTACCCAATCACACCCATCCCATCACTAACATTCCATCTCAATAAATGTTAACACAAATTTATTTATTAACTCAAATTTTTATTGTGGTTTAATTATTTTCCTTACCATAACATTTGTTTTAATGGTTATTTAAATATTTTAACTTGGCCATTACATAAAATCCTTAGTGTTTATCCTCAATGGTATATAATAATGGTCTTAAAAAATCTTAAATTTGACTTGATGAAACCTGTAGAAACGCTGCATTCTGAAAACCTTCTCTTCTTCTCAGCCTTCCTCATCAGGGAAACGCTCCTCTTCAGCCTTCCTGTCCTGACCCGAACAAGGTGAATTTCACGCCTCACGGTGGTTCCGCCTTCTGTCCCGTCAGTCTCCTCAAGCCCCTCCTCCCTTCAATGGACCTGTTATTTCGTGGCCTGTCGGTTTCACCAGTCACTGGCTGCTCGGCTCAAAGTGTCGCCCCTCTCCAGCCAGCGGGACATGCTGTGGGCGGCTATTTGAGCAGCGCCCTCCCAGACTCTCTCTGAATAGGGGAAAAGCAAAAGATCGTCATGCCTTTGTCCCCTTTTCCCAGAGACACTGACATTAAAAGTGTCTCAAAGAGAAGTGCCATCAAACAGAGAGAAGAATGAAATGGACAACTCTTTGTGATCTAAAACTATGGTGAACTTTCTCTGATGTGATAGGCGGGTGACTTATTGACCTCAGGACGCTCTACTCCGCACTTGCGATCATTTCGTTTCACATTATAGCATTTATCTATTGCTATATTTTCTAAAAATCGGTATTAATGACAATTCCGCATCTGTATAAGATTATATTTGTGGGAAAAGACAATAGTCAGGCTGAACACTGAGTATATTTTGTCATATCATAAAAAAAATATCGAACCTGATCCACTCCATGATGATTTTACAGAGCTGTGGATCAGTCAACATCAGATGTATATTTCCTAATTCAGTATTTAAAGACACAGCTCTTTTTGGCAACACAAAAGAGAGACACTAATAGTCTGTCATCAGATGTTTATCACAGTGGCATTTCATCCCGACAACTGAACTTTCACGTGGTGTGAAGGCTGGGTTTGTTTTGTCTATTTAGTAGTTGAGAATGTACGCATTTAGACGTCATTAGGTTAAACTCTGAACTTCAGGTGTTTAATAGATGTCAGGAAATGTTCAGTGAGAAGCTAATATTCAGAGAGTAAGAGGGTGAATCTTATTAAGCTCATCAGGAAAGAGCTCCATTTATATTTCAGATCAAAAGAGAAGGGAAAAACAATTGATCACTTAATTTTTACTTACTTAAAACATTTGAGTCCTCAAAAAAAAAACTAAGTAAAAAAAAATAAATAAATAAATAAATATATATATATATCCACATTTTATTTATATATATATATATATATATATATATATATATATATATATATATATATATATATATATATCCACATTATATATATATATATATATATATATATATATATATATATATATATATATATATATATATATATATAATATAAAATGTGTATATATATAAATAAAATGTGTATATATATATAAAATGTATAGGTCCTAAAATAGACTGTTGTTTTTCTATTGTATCTTTTTAGCTTGGTCTGAAATATGATGGGGATACTTTCTTTGTAGATTCTTTAAGATTCACCAATTCTTTTAAACTGTTTTGTAAAGGGAAAGGCAGAGGTCATTATTTCTTGTTTGCTCGTACTTTAAGGGATAGTTCACGCTAAACTGAACGTTTTTGCATTTTTTCGCTATCCCTCAAGTGGTTTTAAACCTTTTTTAGTTTCTTTCTTCTGTTGAACACAAAGGATGATATTTTGAAGAAAGCTGAAAACCTGTAACCATTGACTTCCATAGTAGGAAAAATAAATACCAAGTCAGTGGTTACAGGTTTTCAGCTTTTTCTACTTCAATGTTCAAATGTAGAAAGAAACCCGGGAAGGTTTAAAACCACTTGAAGTAGAGTTAATAACAGCAGAGTTTTGAGTGAATTCTCCTATTAGGTATAAGACGAGAAACCCAGCAGGACCCCGTTATGATTTTATTTTGAAATATGATGGGGATATTTTCTTTGTAGATTCTTTAAGATTCACCAGCCCTTTTAAACTGTGTTGTAAAGGGAAAAGCAGAGGTCATTATTTCTTGTTTGCTCACACTTAAAGTTCACACTTAAAGAACACTTAGTTCACGCAAAACTCAACATTCTGGCTCTATTTTTCCTCAAGTGTTTTTAAAACCTTTCTGAGTTTCTTTTGAACACACAGTAAGATATTTTGAAGAAAGCTGAACACCTGTAGCCATTGACCTCCATAGTAGGAAAAACAAATACTAAGTCAGTGGTTACATGTTTTCAGCTTTTTTCTGAATATCTGCTTTTATGTTTGAATGAAGAAAGAAACTTTAAAAATTTTAAAACTACTTGACAAAGAGTAAATAATAATAAGATTTTCAGTTTAGATTGAATTCTCCCATTAGGTGTAAGACGAGAAACCCAGCAGGACCCCATTATGATTTTATTTTGCTGCACACTTGATGAGTGTGCCGTTTGATTTACTGTAAGACTCGACTACTGTTCTTAAAGTAGTCTTTATTGTTCAGTTCATTTGAGCACCGAGCTGTTTGTAGAAACACTTTACGTAGGACATAAGCAAATCTGCTGCATTCAGGTACAGTATGTTCATCAATGAGAATACCAGCGAATGATTTGCTGCCATTTAAAGCACTGACCTTTATGATCACATAAATATATCTATATTTGCATGGATTGTGTCTCAGTCTTGGCATCATTTGTTTGTTTTTTAAGTTCTCACTTGTTACGTTTGTTCTTTAATTAAGAGTGCTGTTTTAATGACACTGTTCTCAAACTGTGTAAATGTTATCTTGAGTACAGTTACTGTACGCCAAACCTACTTGTTCCATGTATTGTGTATGTATGCTACTCAGTTTTGGCCAGCATAAATGAGAAACAAGCTCAAACATTAGCAGGTTCACTGTTTATTTGATCAGCCTTATAAGGAAGTCTGTCTGTTTGTCTGTCTGTCTGTCTATCTATCTATCTGTCTGTCTGTCTGTCTATCTCTCTTTCTGTCTCTGACTACCTACCTTTCTTTCTATCTATTGTCTGTCCGTCCGTCTACCTACCTACCTGTCTGTCTATTTAGCTATGCTACTCGGTTTTGGCCACCATTAACGAGAAACAATCTTAAAATTAGTAGGTTTTCTGTTTATTTGATAGTTTATAAGGAAGGATTCTTTCTTTTCATATATCTATTATCCATCCATCCTTATATATCGGTCTATTTACATTACATTTAAGTATGCGTTCATGAACGTTATATTAGCAACATGTTAAATACACTTCAAAGTTAAAGAAAACGATTAAATTATATTGAAATATATTTAAATGCGCTTTTAAATATAATAGTTTTCTTTTAACTAGCAAGCGTACATTAAAGCGTTGATAATATAACATGTTCATGATTGAGATGTACACGCGATGCTTGTTAAGGAACTCTACGCTCCGCCCTACTAAAGATTTCAGCTCTGTGATTCGCTGCATGTCGCCAGCTTTTGCTTATTTGGACCAATCAAAGTAATACACATACCGCTACGTAAAATCCCGAGTGCTTCTTTTCAAGAAAAGCCCCGCATATTTGTTTACAGAGACTTGTAGGTGATGCCTAATATAAAGTAGCAAGCAGTGCACTGAAAAATGAAAGGAGACTTGAGCAGAAAACGCGCAGAGGGTAAAGTCAATGTCATTTAGCGAATAACGACACACACCTGTCTTACAGAGTATTTTAATGCTGTCTTGCATCCTCAGAGAGACACAGGCATATCAGTAGAGTACCTGAATTCGCTCGGGTCCTTTAGCTCAGTGTCATTTGACGCGTCGAATGAAAACATTTATTAGAGACTGCCTCAGGAGTAAATATAATCCACTATCATTAAATGTCAAAAACAGACGTTTACTCAGCATCTCGACTACAGAATTACCTCAGTAAACTTGGGAAGAAAAGTCGCATTTTTACCCGCATTCACTAAACGCGTCCGTTCTCAGGATGCGGCTGTTTGGACTCAGCTCTTTATTTTTAATTTGACGTGACTGGACTGTGACGTAAAATAAACCATTATTTAACAGAACAACACAAGTGGAAGTGTATTATCGTTGGTACTGTACGTCAATATCTGTATATGTGATATCAGAGGCAGGAGAGTAACGTACAGTGGAGTAATAGGGTATCTAGAGACGCGTCATCATTTCCGGGCTACCGATCGCCGGTAGAGTGGATCGGGACGCAGGAGCGCGAGGAGCGGGGAGCGGAGCGGTGTCTGTGTCCATACCGAGACTGCTGGACGATAGCATGGCCGCCGGGAAGGCAGCTAGCAAACCGTCTCTCTGGCAGAACGAACGGGTCCGGTTCGCCGTCTGTTTCTGCGGGGTGTTCGTGTGTTACTTTTACTACGGAATACTGCAGGAGACAATGTGAGTAGTATTCCTGTTGCTTTGATTTGTTTGCCATTTTCTGTATTTGTTTGTAAATGTAGAGGTTAAACATCATTAGTTTCCAGCTGCTGCTGTTATTGAGTCAAACTAGCACGTGTTGTTGCTATAGTAAGAAACGAGCATTTAGCTATCTCACCTTACAGTTAGTTACTAACTAACTACCTAATTTACATGAAAAAATACTGTAGTATAGGTAGTTTATAGCAAATACTAAATGATTTTGGGACCATATTGCAGCTTTGAGGAAAGTTGGTCTAATATTTGTACATTATATAGTGTGCTGTCAATATATACAGTTTACCATGGTCTTTTGAATATTCAAAACGACATGTACACTACCTAATTCACGTCACTTAACAGAAATAATGTACAGTATAGAATATAAAGTCAGGGTGCAGTGGAAAAAAAAATATTGTGTGGGACTTATATGAGCTTGGAGGACTGCATCCATACATCTCTGCAATGACTCAAATAACTTATTTTTAAAGTCATCTAGAATGGCAAAGAAAGCGTTCTTGCAGGACTCCCAGTTCATCAAGTTTTTTTGGATTCATCTTTAATGTCCCCTCCATCTTACGCCAGACATGCTCAATAATGTTCATCCTGGCTGGCCAATCCAGACCTCAGGCTGTTGATGTTGCCATCTGCTCTGCAGATCTCTCACACGCCCCCATACTGAATGTAACCCCAACCGATGATTTTTTTTTTTCTTCACCAAACTTGACTGATTTCTGTGAGAATCTTGGGTCCATGCTGCTTCCAGTAGGTCTTCTGCAGTATTTGTGATGATTGCGATACAGTTCAAGATATGATTCAGAAAAATGTACCTTCTGCATCTTTTTTTTCAAATGATCAACTAGAAGTCTGGTTATTTTTTATTTCCTTTACAACTGGGATTAAAGACAAGACTTTTATTAGGTGGTGCAAGTATGACTTAATTGACCGTAAACAATGTTGTACTGTTCTAAAAATATGTTAAGGAGAAAGTCTGAATGTGTGACTATAGAACCAACTTTACCTCAATTACAACAGTAAAGTATTTGTGGCAATTCTATTAGATATGGTAATAGAACAACTATAGTAATAAATGCATTACCCAATACTGTACCATATGTTTTTGGCACTATATTATGATACAATATACCACAGTTTGCTGTAGTATAAACTGAAGTACTCCATTATTTGATAATATATCGTTTCACTATAGTTAATACAAAAGCATGCTGTAGAATTCATTAAGAAGAGTTATAAATTCAGTTTAATCAATTAAATTAAAATTATATTCACCACATTAACTGTCCCTTTCACTACTGGTGTGCCCCAGGGTTCAGTTCTGGGTCCCCTGCTATTTATCTTCTGTCTTCTCCCTCTGCAAACAACTCAGCGTAATATTTTCCACAAACACCAGATCCATTTCCATTGTTATGCAGATGACACCCTGCACAATATTTCAGCTAAACCCAACTCCACATGGCCACCATCATCTTACCAATTGTTTTTTTTTTGATCCTGGTTCACATCAAATTTCCTGAAATTAAGTGACAATAAAACTAAAATTCTTTTCATAGGTATCACATAACTTTTCTATTCCCACTGAAACTTCTGTCATCTCTCACTCCCTTCAGGTTAAGAGTCTGTGCGTCATCTTTGACAGCACACTTTCATTCACTTCACGTTAATGTCACCTGCTCAGCTTTTTTCGATTATTATTCTTATTACGCACTTACTATGGTACACTCAAAGATATATGTATGTGTGTGTATGTATGTATATATATATATATATATATATACTTTTTGCTTGTTCAAACTACTCACTACTCGCATTACTTGGGAAATAAATAAAAATAAATACAGGAGGGATAATCGTTTTGACTTTTGTTCATGCTTCAAGTGTTGACCTCTGTTATAGCTGTAATAATTGTTTTTTTCTTTTTTTTTGTCAAGCGCTACAGTTAATCACTGCTGTAAACAACAGTTTCTTCCCCAGCCACTGTTGGGTATTTCTATCACTAGTGATTATGAAGGCTCCTTGTTCTTAACAGCTGTTGCCTTCAATCCCATAATGCCTCTGTCTTCTGTTTGGCACAGCACACGGGCGGACTACACTCATGCAGGGAAGAAGGAGAAGTTTCGTTACGCCACCACTTTAGTTTTCATTCAGTGCATCATCAATGCAGCTTTCGCCAGACTCTGTGAGTCAAATATTCAGATGCTTTGATTGCATGTGCCATTCTGTGGGACAGTTCTTTAAATGGGTGATTCCATTATTGTTGTTTTTGTCCATTATTTTTTTTTCAGCTGTTTTCTAGATGGATCACAATATCCTACAGGCCACTACACTGTAGGGCTGCACGTTATTGGAAAAAAACTGACATTGTGATATTTAAATAAATTATTTTCATATGGCAGAAAAAAAATGACTATGCTTTGGAAGAATTCATCATTTTACATTAATAGGGAGGGAGTTTTCGTTGTATTCTTTATTATTCATTCTTTCATTTTCCTTCGGCTTAGTCCCTGATTTATCAGGGGTTGCCATAGTGGAAATAACCACCAACTGTCCGGCATATGTTTTACACAGTGGATACCCTTTCAGCTGCAACTCAGTGCTAGGAAAGTATTACGTATGAAATACCATTCATATTTGTTCAAGCTACAAATTGTATTATTTATTTTTGCTATTTTTTGCTTGAAATCCTGCATAGTGACAGGCCTTTAAAAAATCATTCACTCTATTGGTTTTTTTTGATTAATTCCAATTCCACATAGATATTGCAGATTCTGCAGCTCTGTACTGTTTTCTGCAGAAAGTGTCTTAAATAACTACAAATCATTATTATTTCCATTGTGTATTACTGTGCAATTAAAACAATTTATTTTAGTAAAGTAATATAATATAGTACATTAGTTGGAATATCCTCATGGACAGTGCATTAAGATGTAATGCAACTGCGCTTTGGGCGTAAAAGCAAAATAAAGGCTAAAAAAAAATAAATAAATAAATAAATTATTTATATATATATATATATATATATATATATATATATATATATATAAATGATTTATTTTAGTATTCTTTGTTCAAAGTTTTATGTATTTTATTTATAAAAAATAAAAGTATTTTTATTTTTATTTTATAAGATGAAATAAATAGGATTTAACAGTTCAAAAAGTCTGTTAGCAGTACTGTACTTTGGCTTTAAATTTGTAAAATGATCACCCACTTCTATGTACAGGAATAAATGATGCCACTTTCCCTCGCTGGTTAATTCTGAAGCACTGAATTCTGCACTAAGAGCTATTTTATAAAACGTCAAAACTGTTACTTACCACAAGATCAAGAAGAACAGAGTCCATCGTAAAAGGTCACACAGTGGGTTGTTCAGTCTTTTAAACATGATTTCATTATTGCTACGTTTGCTAGTGGAGTTTTTTGCTAAAAGGCTTTAAATAGTCAATTCTGTTACCATCAACCCTGTTAAAAAGATAATTCTTTTTTTAATTCTAATTAATTATAATTAGAAAATAATTTTTGTTTGACATGTATTGAATTTTTAATATTGAGTATGGTTTCAATAAGATATTGGACACTATTTCTGTCACTTAAATCCCTTTATATTTTTTGAAAAGGAAATTGTAGCACCAATAATGGAATCACCCTCTTGATAAATGTTTGACATCACATTTTACCGTCATTCCATATGTTTAACCTTTGTGTACTGTTTAAATTGACTACCCTTTCGTTATATTGGTGGGTGTTTTTGCCCCATTGACTTCCAATTTAATCGCATTTTCTTTACTGTTGATCATCAGTGGGCAGCATTAACTCTTTAGATATTTAGGCCTGTGCAAAAACATTTCTTTCTTTCATATGGAGTTCTAATGATTAAAACAGCTAAGTGTGTGCATAAATACACTTACTATGTTGACAATATTCTGAGAGCTGAGACGCTTATTTTGATTTTCTCAGATGCATCACTGTTGCACTACAACTGATGATCAACAGAAAAAAGAACACGTTTTACCACTTTCCAACAGGGAAAACCATGTGTCATGGCTTTGCAGTCAAATGAATTATAATATAGTGGAAGTCAATGGAGCAAAAACAGTCACCAACATAATGAAACTGTTGTCAATTTTAGGGCTGCATGATATTGGACAAATTTTCTGCAATATATATTTGTGATTATAATGTATCTATACAATTTCACCAAATTATTAAATAACACTATTTGGAAAGATTTTATATAGTCATACTTTATTGTAAAGTTCAATTTTCACTATTAACAAACATTAACTATGACTTTTGCTTCAATAAACTTCTAATTTGCTCCTTATAAATAGATATTAAAGTAGTTTATGGGCTGAGTTAGGGATGTAGAATAAGATCACGCATAATATGTAGATTTTATAAGTACTAATAAACAGCCAATCTCTCAACAACATGCATGCTAAGAAACAACTAGTGAAAATCGGTTCTTAAAGTGTTATCATATGTGTTCATTTTGAATGATTGGGACGATTGTGTAGTGAATCATGCATAATATGTAATAAACAAACTACAAGCACAGATAAAGTACAAATAAAGCAAAGATAGAAGTGGAATTAAAAGTGCATGCTTTATGGTTTTGTATATTTAAATGTAAAAAATACTCCAAATCGATGCTGAAGCGATATATTGTGCAGCATTAGTCAATTTGCAGATTGTGTTGTTAAATTGTTGAAAAAATTCAAAGCATTTTCTTAAAATATGTGTCAAAATATGATTTGTCACCAAAAATTATTCCATTTGCTGAAACACAGAGAAACTTGTGGCGTAATTAAAACTCAAAATCACACCAGAGTGGATGAAACCATCCCCAACTGCACACAAGGGATAAATCTGTCATTTAATACTCTCTCTGTTCTCTGTAGTAATTCAGTTTTTTGAGGGCTCGAAGCAGGACCACACGAGGAGCTGGCTGTATGGCTTGTGTTCTCTGTCTTACCTGGGAGCCATGGTGTCCAGTAACTCTGCCCTGCAGTATGTCAACTACCCCACACAGGTCAGCGCAGCAGTTTACTCCAGAATCTCTCATTCCATTCTTCTCAGCATCACGCTTATAAGGCTTTGTGTTTTATAGGTGTTGGGGAAATCCTGTAAACCAATTCCAGGTGAGAGGAAAAACATCTTTATCCATTTGAATCACACAAACAGATCTCTCATGTTTCAAACAAGAATGTTGAACATGCTAGTACACACACACACACACACACACACACACAAAGATGTTGTTTCGTTTGGTGTCTGTAAAAGTACTTTAATACTTTGTCTTCAGCAAGGAAGGATGCATTTAATTGATCAAAAGTGCCAAAAAGGCATTAATAATTTTACAGATTTCTACTTTAAGTAAATGCTTTTCTTTTCAATTTTCATTTTATCAGAGAATAAATGGAACAATATATTCAACAAGCAATAAATCTTTCTTGAACACTAAATCAACATACTAGAATAATTTCTAAAACATCATGTGACATTCAGCTTTAAAGAGCTTCTATTTACCCCCTTTACAAGATGTAAGAAGTCTTAGGTGTCTGTAAAATCTCAGCTCAAAATACCCATCAGATTATTTATTATACAATGCAGAATTTTGGGCTCAGAGCAAAGTGTAGCTGTTTTTGTAGCTGTTTGCGCAACAAGGTGATTTCAACAGTTATGAATTACATAGCGATTTTACTGTCTTTACTTTATTACAGACATGTCAACTTGTACAACTTTTGTACTTGTAACTTGTGACACCCATTCTTGAGGTATAGCTGATCACAGAGAGGTGGAACAGATCTTTTGTCCCAGTTTCTTTGCAAATCCTGTTCTGTGTGCTTAAAGAACCACAGCCATATCATCCTGCAGCCCAAGAGCTGTTACTCACTGAAGCTAAGCAGGGCTGAGCCAGGTTAGCACCTGGTTGGGAGACCATATTGGAAAACTTGGTTGCTGTTAAAAGGGGTGTTAGTGAGCTCAGCAGCGGGTGCTCAGCCTGTGGTCTATGAGCCCTAATGCCCCAGTATAGTGAATGGGACAGTATACTGTCAGTGAGTGCCGTCTTTCGGATGAGATGGATAAACCGAGGTCCAGACTCTCTGTGGTCATTAAAATTCCACTTCTCTTAAAAGAGTTGGGCTGTAGCCCTGGTGTCTTGGCCAAGTTCTCACCATCGGCTCTTACTAATTATGGCCTCTCAATCATCCCCATCCATTGATTGAGAGGGTGCTCGCTGCAGAGCCATTTGAGGAGAGGTGAGCTCCAGAGAGGGGGAGCATGAGCTGTCGCTCCTCCTCCTGTAAGCTGTTTTAATGCGTACACCAACCCGACCTCTATCCCTACCCCCAGTGACATCACTCGTAGAAGAAGTGCAAAAAAGGTGGAGCTCAAGCTTAAGCTCCCCCTCTCTGGAGCTCACCTCTCCTCAAATGGCTCTGCAGCGAGCACCACTTGCATTGATTTGGCTCTATCACTGTCTCTCCACTTCACCAATAGCTGGTGTGTGGACTATTGTGATTGTGAAGCACTTTGGGAGTATGGTGATGAATGAGCAATATAAATACACATTAAAGTACATTACATGAAAAAAATATAAGTATAACATCTTTTTGTCTTTGTATTTCTTATTTAATAAATGCAGACTTGGTGACTTTTTTCAATAGTAGTAAAATACTTTTAAACAATAGTGAACAAAAGGGTAAGCAAGGGGCTCAAATTGTACATGGGTATTTAAATTCAATAATAAATGAGAACAGTTGGATTAGAAGATAACCGGTAAATTGCTATACAGAGACCACTTTTGAATAGACATTTAAAAAAAGAATACTGGTAAATGAGTTCCACCAATTTTATGGAATAAGTTGTAACATTGCTGGAATTATAGCAATATTTTGAAATGCATGTGGGAATAGCGCTTTTGTAGAACAATTACAGAACCTCTTTTTAAATTTAAATTTCAATATTTTATGTATATTTACTGGTATTACTCTGTGAAAGGGATTGATTTCAATGAATTTTGCATTTAACAATTTTACATATTGTAACATTAATGTTACATAAAAATAATTTTAGATCTTTAAACATTATAAAACATTTATTAAAAAAAAAACAGGTAAATGGTTCAGTAAATAATTTATATAGGCGTTTGCATGAAATTACATGTGTAGGTAATATGTCAGGGTATCTGCGGGGTCTTAAAGTCCGAAAATGTCTAAATTTTATTTTAAAACAAGTTTTAGGCCTTTAAAAGTCTTAAATCCACTAATATATTGTGTTGTGTGTCTTAAATCATTTTAAACGGGTCTCAATTTTCTTATGTCCATGTAAAGCTATACCCAATTAACCCAATACCCACCCAAAAACTAACAATATATTTCAGTAAAAGTTTTGAGAAATGTTTATTAACTCTAGTTACTGATTAATATGATTTAATTATGTTCCTTACAATAACATGTTTTTAATGTTTTTTTAAGGTCTTAAATTGGCCATTAAAAAATCGTTAGCCTTGTCTAAAATTTAATTCATTATGGTCTTAAAAAGGTCTTTTAAAAGCTCTTAAATTTAACTTGATGAAACCTGTAGAAACCCTGTATGTCTACTTTTAATATTTCAAATTTATTCAAACATTTTTGTAAAACTGGAGTGTCAAAGTAAGAGTGTAGTAATGTTACATTTTAATTCAGCATAACAGAAATGAAAGAACGTGCTGTTGGGGAACCGACAGTTTGAACCTAAATTGTTTTAAACTTGGTACAATCTACATCCAAACTGGCAGCTTGATAAAAACACAGAAAGCATATCTTCCATACAAAGAAATTTACTTAAAAAGATTAACACATAAAATGACAAATAACTCAGGAAACAGTTGTCTCCAATCCATCAAGAGTCCAGTTTCACTCAAGAGGTCTCCATGACATCTGACTTGAATTGGTAGATCCTGAGGAACATTTTTGACTTTCAAAAAAAGAAATGACATGCACATCAGTCCAGTTTTACTCTGAAAAGGGATGACACTACGGTCATCATAAAATCATTAAATCATTCATTACTATTCATAAAGACATAAAGTATGTGTAACTACGTCCTGGAGGAGACGTCATCACAAAATCCACACCTTCGGTGCTTATTCTAATCTGTACTTATTTGTGTATATACATAAAGAATAATTGATCATACTAAATCAAATTCTATATTAAATCAATAAAAGTGTCTTGCTGAACATTCATTAAAACCTAGTTAAATAATCGCAAAATATACATTTAAATTGACAATAATTATTGTTTTGGAGATGCACTATGATCCTTAAATTATGTTTTTATGGCTTATCAAAGGATTTCTGTTCTAAATATACTTGACTAGATTGTTTTTGAGTTGCATTTTTTTGCAGACGACACCTATTTATCATGGTAAAATTGTATGATCGTCATAATTTTTTGTTCAGAAAAAGTGTAAATAGGAAACTTTTTATAATGTATAAAAAAAAAGCTGTATTGCACACATTGTTTGCATGTTTAAACCTCCCATTTATGTTTGACCCTTTAATGTGTGACTTTTGTATCCACATTTACAGAGTGTCCTTTCATAATCATCAGCATCTGTATGCATATTTGTTGAAAGATGAAAATTTCAGCGTTTCTCACGTTCAGAGAATTCTTATATTCCCATATGGCCATGTTTGTTGGCCATATGGCAACTGTTTTCGCTGTGCACAATCATCTCAAGCACACAATGCAACTCTCTGCAGATCGTTTTTGGCCACGTGTCCTCATTGTGCTTTTGTTCTTTGCTTCTACAGTGATGATTCTGGGTGTCACAATCCTGAGGAAGAAATACCCCATGGCCAAGTATCTGTGTGTGTTTCTAATCGTCGGTGGTGTCGCCCTCTTCCTCTATAAACCCAACAAAGGCTCCAGCACATCAGATGAACACGTATTTGGTTTTGGAGAGATGTTGCTGGTTGGTCTCTGTTTTAAAGTTTCCTTCTAATGCTATTTTGAAGGTTTCTGGTTTTAGTAAATAAGAACTATTTTAAATACACTACCTGACATAAGTTTTAAAAACAACAAATAAAAAGTTGACTTCTAGTTGATCATTTGGTATCAGAAGTGGCTTATATGAAAGGCAAAGACCTCTTAATTACGCTTATCTTACCAAAATTAAGTATGATCATGTCTTGATTTTTAATTATTTAATTTGGACCCTAAGGTCTGACTTTGCTTAAACAGAATTCTTGTCACTTAACAGAAATAATGTACAATATAAAATAAAAAGCATGGTGCAGTGGGAAAAAACAATCAAAAAGAATGACTCCCATGAGCTTGGAGGACTGCATCCATACATCTCTGACTCAAATAACTTATTAATAAAGTCATCTGGAATGGCAAAGAAAGCGTTTCTGCAGGACTCCCAGAGCTCATCAAGATTCTTTGGATTCATCTTCAATGCCTCCTCCTTCATCTTATCCCAGACATGCTTAATAATGTTCATATCTGGTGATTGGGCTGGTCAATCCTGACGCACCTTGACCTTCTTTGCTTTCAGGAACTTTGATGTGGAGGCTGAAGTATGAGAAGGACCACTATCCTGCTGAAGAATTTGCCCTCTCTTGATTGTGATGTAATGGGCAGCACAAATATTCTTAATACTTCAGGCTGTCAATGTTGCCATCCACTCTGCAGATCTGTCGCACGCCCCCGTACTGAACGCAACCCCAAACCATGATTTTTTCCTTCACCAAACTTCAAACAACAAGGACTGATTTCTGTCAGAATCTTGGGTCCATGCAGGTTGCAATAGGTCTTCTGCAGTTTTTGTGATGATTGGTATGCAGTTCAACAGATGATTCAGAAAAATCAACCATCTGTCACTTTTTTTCGATCAACTAGAAGTCAAGTCACTATTTGTTGCAATTACAACTGGGATTGATGAACTTTTGTCAGGTAGTGAAGTGAGGTTCTTGAAGTGTCTGAAGTGGTTCATTCAAGGATCTGGTTTCTCAGAACTTGTTCTTTCATAGGGTCCACTCAGCTTTTATTGGTCAGACGACTCAATTTGTTCTCTGCCTTGTTATGATTGTTCTACCATTTACAATTTGAAATCATTGGAGATTGGTTATTACTTCGAAAAAATAAATGATTCATTTGTACATATACAAAACACCCAATTTTTAGACTTTTTGTTATTTATTGAACATGAAAGATAAATTGAATGTCTGTTTTATATAATGCTAGATTTTTTTTCTTTCTGTCTTTAAAGGGTAGTTTGCCCAAAATAAAATTAACTGATTATATATATATTTATTTTTTTATTGTGTTGAACACAAAGATATTTCAAAGAATTTTGTAACCATTGACCTCCAAATTACTCATAATATTACCAAATAGCAACAAGGAGAACAAGCACAGCATGAGACTCACAGCACAAACCAGTGACCTTATTGCTGTGAGGTGACTGTGCCAACTTAGCCACTGTGCCCTGCTTATTTGTACCCGTTGACTCTTATAAATCATAAGAATACTAGTGAATATGCTTGTGTATCTGAAAAACAAGACTACAATCACTGATTCTCCATTGAAAAGTCTGCATTCTGTGTTGGAATCCCTGTCTTTGTTTTGTCCTCTATAACCTGCCCACTGTCAGTTTACTTGATTATATTTTGGCATCTCAGTTTGCCTTGGTGGATTACGGCATGTTTCATTTCAGCCATTAAGACGGTCTTTGTTTATGGTCACGACCAAAAATGTGACCTTCGAAGAACAGTAGCAGCCTTCGAAATAAGGCGCTGATTCAAAGTTATAAAAAAAAATCACATGATGTGGTTTTTAAATCGCGAGTATTATTAGTATTACAAACGCAAACATTTGCTGAGCAGCTTACATTGGCAAGGCCTGATCGTCAGACACAGTTGCTCATGATTGTTTCATCAATCTGGCAACCTTCGTTGTCAGAGGTGGAGCCAGGTGGAAAAAAAACCTCTCCGATATTTTAAGTTTGGACCGCAATACCTAGATCAATTCTACAGACTGCGCCTTTAAAACTTTACAGACCTTTTTATTCACAAACAGCTGCATTTTACACTACATGAAAGATAATATCTGAAAAGTAAATTAGGGCCATTTTAAATATGTTCCGTTCGCTGCCTTGTACTCCATCTCTGGGAAGTCCATCTGATGTGTGTTTGTTTGATTGTAGCTGCTGTCTTTGACTCTGGATGGACTGACGGGTGTAGTTCAGGACCACATGAGGGGCCGATTCCAGACAGGGGCCAATCACATGATGCTGAACGTTAACATGTGGTCCACGCTGGTCCTAGGAATAGGTGAGTTATTACACAAGAGGTTGTATAAAATTAGAGTCACTTTACTAGTGAAGAACTAGTTTTCAGTAAGCAGATAACAAGCCGTCAGGCCAGGGTTATTATGTAAGGAATAATGCACATCTCGCCAGTTGTTTCTGCAAAAAGAGGCCTGAGATGCTTGTCAATAAGATGAGGAGGATATAAGACTGTAGGGCTTTATTGTAAGAAAACTCCCTAGATCTACAATAACACACTTACTACATTGTAGTGTTGTCAAAATTACCTGTTTGAAGGTGTTTGCAAGCCTAGTGGTTTTGTGTGTGACCTGAGTTCGATTACTGGCTCGAAGTCCTTTGCCGATCATTCCCCTCCCCATGATTTCCTGTCAGTTCTCTACATCTTTTTTTCGATTTAAAGGTAAAAAAAAATAATTTAAAATTGTGTGTGTGTTCAATAATCAATCAAAGCTCCAAGAACACTTTTATGCTCAAAAAACAATGTAAAATCTATGTTTGCCTTTGTCTCCCGCATTTATAATCCTTTAAATATCATTCTGGTGTTAATTTTCTGAAAAATCACTCAAATTTTGACCTGGTTTTCTACAGCATCTTGCATCTTTTTGTAGCAACAATGCAAGTTTAATTGAAACTGTTGTCTAATTCACCTTTTTAAACCGTTTCACAGCAAATGCATGTGTGACATGTTTGCCGTGCTTATTTTAGCGTCATTTCCATCAGGTCAGAGCTGTTGTTGTCCACCAGGGGGAGCTCTGGCTCTGTGGTCAGTCTCAACAGTTTTTTTTTTATTTATTTTATTTTATCAGAGCTTTGACAGAAGCCCCCTGCTGATCTCCAGCAGCTGTTCAGTCTGTCTGCCTCTGCTCTGAAAGGCATCTGTTCCTCACTTTTAATCTTTAATCTCATCACACATGCAACAAACTTCCTTCCTTCCAAACCTCTCATTATGAAAGCAGGGCTGTCCTGTGGTGCTCTCTCTGAAGTTAGTGCAAATAATGACGACTTTTTCTAAAGTTCTTCTGCAAATGGAAAATGGCACAGTCCACTATTAACACTCGCCAAGCCCAAATGAGAGGGAAAACTCATTTGGCTGAGTAAAATTATTTGACAGACTCTTTAAGACAAAAACTTTTTTGTTTTGTTTTGATACACCTGTCAGTTTTGAGATTTTGGGATTTTTGGCTTTTGGTGAAGTGTTTTTATCTATTTACTTTCGCAGTTTTATGTAAAAAAAAGCATTTAAACTTTGTTTTCTTGTTAATTTATGCTTTGTTAGACATATAAAAAAAACAGAGAACAAAAAAGAACAAAACAGTGAGGAAATTTTGTTCTGCATTAACATTTTTTTAATGTTTAAATTCAAACTAGAACTAAAAGAACATTAGATAATCACCCCCAGCCGTAAACCCTTAGGGAGGAATGAGAAGTAAAAAATCTATAGAAATACTGTTCGAGATGAACTGAATAATTGATGAAACTAATTTAAATACAACTAATTTCATTTTCCTTCGGCTTAGTCACTTATTGCCAGAGGTTGCCACAGCAGAATGAACCATCAACTATTCTAGCATATGTTTAATATGCAGCGGATGCCCTTCCAGCTACAACCCAGTACTGGGAAAATAAGACTAAACTAAATAATAAAATCAGTGGACAAATAAGTGTAATAAAGATACAAATTAATAAGAAAGGGGCAACACGGTGGCTTAGGGGTTAGCACTTTGTGGTCGAGTTCTGGCTGGATCAGTTGGCATTTCTGTGCGGAGTTTGCATGTTCTTCTTATATTCAGATGGGTTTACTTCGGGTGCTCCGGTTTTTGCCCACAGTCCAAAGACATGTAGTACTGTTAAATTGAATAAACTAAATTGGCCATAGTGCAAGTGTGTGAATGTGAGAATGTACCAGGTTGCAGCTGGAACGGCATCCGTTGTGTAAAACATATGCTGGATAAGTTGTTGGTTCATTCCCCTGTGGCAGCCGCTCATGAATAAAGGGACTAAGCCGAAGAAGAATGCATGAATGAATGATAAAAGAAAGTTTTTTTTTTTTAAATTTAAAGAAAAAATAATGGGAGGAAAAATATATAAAAAATATATGGGGGCGTACATACAATTAAAACAAATATATAAACAAAAGTGGGCAACGTGGTGGCGCAATGGGTAGCACGTTCGTCTCTCAGCAAAAAGGTCGCTGATTCGAGCCTTGGCTGGGTCAGTTGGCATTTCTATGTGAAGCTTGCATGTTCTCCCCATGTTCGTGTGGGTTTCCTCTGGGTGCTCCGGTTTCCCTCACAAGTCCAAAGACATGCACTATAGGTGAATTGGGGAAGCTAAATTGTCTGTAGTGTTTGTGTGTGTATGGATTTATGAATGGATGTTTCCCATTGTGTTCCTTTATCAGTCTGCGGTCGCCACAGCGGAATGAACCGGCAACTTATCCAGCATATGTTTTACGCAGCGAATCCCCTTCCAGCCACAACCCAGTTCTTTTAAACATCCATACACTCGTTCACACACATACACTATGGCCAATTAAGTTTATTCAATCTGGACTGTGGAGGAAAACGGAGCAACAAGGTGGGAAACCCAGGTCAACACTGGGAGAACATACTCTACACAAAAATTTGCAGTACTTGAACCAGTGACCTTCTTGCTGTGAGGTGGAAGTGGTAACCACTGAGCTACCATGTTGCCCCTACACTGCTTTATTCATATCTATTTTGAGGGAGGCTTTTTTTTTTTTAGTGAGAAATGTTTAAACTTGGTTTCTCTGAACATTTTTATTCTACAAAAAAGTGTCTGTTTCTAGTATTTTATGAAGTTGTGGAATTTCGAAAGAGATGAAAAGTAAATAAAACTTTGTGTGTTTAAAAAAAAACACTTGAAGAAATTTGAAGCTGGCTTCATTCACCGTTTAGTTTTTGGTTTGAAACTATGCAAATTAGCGCATATTTAATGAAACAATGGCTTATTTGCATACTTAATTAAAACATTTTAGAAAGCTCGCAAAACAAAAAAAAAGTTTGCAGTTCTTCATGTAATCAATCAACTGGTGATTAGCGTAGCATAACTATTAGCATAATCTGATTCAGAACACACACAAACATCTACCAAAGTCTCTTTATTGGCATGACAAATGTTACAAATGTATAACCGAAGCATTTGTAAAGTTCACACAAAAAAATACATACGAGCAATTCCAGCATTATGGATGTGACATTTGCAGTGAAAACTTAAAACATAAATTCACATAGAAAGCATATGTTAACATTACATTGAAACTTTTGTTTATATTTTTCACTGACCACACATCACAGAGTTATGGGGCCAGAAAAATATCAATCTGTAAACATATTTTGTATTTTAAATGAAGAAAATAAACATGCGTTATGAATGTGAACAAAAAAAAGTCTGCGGGTTTACAGAATGCAACATACTTTGAGGAAATTCTCTGCATAACCCAAAAGAAACCATAATTAAAATTAAAATGAAAAGGAAAAGAGTTGGCTCTCTATTATTTTATTTAATATTTGTACATTTATGAGGAAAGTGTTGTTGTGCATGTGACATGTGAAATTACCAATTGTGTGACTTTGGTAAATCAAATATAATAGTTTGAACACATTGACAGATTTTTGAGTATTTCTAAAGTACTGTAAAATACCCAGAAACAGTTTCTGTATTTTGATAAAAACGTATTATTTTTTTTTTTATGGCAAGGTTGACTTTGCACGGAATTTCTCATATATTTATAAAAAGCATAGTAAACACAGTAAATAGCGTAGTTTAAAATATTAATAATACATTCGAATAAACTATAAATTTAACATTCAACATTTTAGGCTAAAACAATAATAAATAATAATAATCAGTATATTTACAATCACTCATTTAGAAGTGTGAGTGTGTGTTTGTGTTTGCTGATGTTTTTAATGGTCTCCACTCTCTATTTGTGACATGGCATTAATGTATTGTGCTGCTGGAAGTTTACAATCTGTTTTTTCCGCTGGTAAATATTGAATATTTTACTCCCTTTCATAGCTGTGCTGTGGTCGGGTGAGGTGTGGGAGTTTTTGGCTTTTACTGACCGCTATCCCAGCATCATCTATAATATCCTCCTGTTTGGCATCACTAGTGCTCTTGGACAGGTGGGTTTGGTGTTTTGTATGGTTGCTCATTCATTCGCAAGCTTTAATGAGAATGAGTGATAAATCCAGTTGTTTTGTTCACGTAGACGTTCATCTTCATGACTGTGGTGTATTTTGGGCCGCTCACCTGTTCCATCGTCACCACCACGCGCAAGTTCTTCACCATCCTGGGCTCTGTTCTGCTGTTCGGGAACGTTATCAGTCATATGCAGTGGTTTGGGACCATCCTGGTCTTCCTTGGTGAGTGAAGACTTTTCAAAACTCAAGTTTTATATATATATATATTTTTGTATCTCTAGAACGTGTCAAAAGTTCATTTTTGAGAGAGAGAAAATAAAACTGAGGTAGATTGAAAAACAATGAAATGGAAGTCACATTGGCGAATTGGTTGCACTAGTGAATAAGTCGCTTTTTGTAACTTATTTAAGAAAAATCTGTCAAATGAAAATCTGGCAGCTCTAAAAGCAGGCTAATTCTAGGCTTGTTTATTCAAATGCATTTTTAATTTCCTTTCTCCATAAAAATTCCATAAAATGTAACAATATTCAGTACAGAAAGGGAATAGAACAATTACGAAACAGAAAGAAATACCAAATAATGCCTCATTCACACTATGAGCGACTTGCAGTTACAAAGCAACAAGTGACCCTTCATTTCAATGGAGAGTGAGCGACTTCCAATGACCTCTGTCTATAAGAGCGACAGCGACCGTTGTCAACCATGTGGGCATATTGAGCAATGCAAAAAAGTTGAGAATCCTTCAACTTTATGCAAATGAATAGCAACTTTCTTGAGCAACAGCCAATAGGAGCACCAGTAAAGCTCGCGTGATCCTCTCTCAGCTCCTGCAGTGGCCGGTTGTATCCTCTGTAGACCTACACAGACCTGTTTGCAGCAGATCACCACCCAGAGCGACAGGCAGCTACAGAGTGAATAATATACCTTGCACATACAATATTAAAATATTATTATTATTATTATTATTATTTGTATTATTATTATTCTGTATATTAATTATTAGTCTATACATCAAGTGAGAGTTTACAATATATACATTTGAAGTCAGAATTATTAGCCCCCCTGTTTATTTTTTCCACAATTAGTGTTTAACAGAAAGTGGATTTTTTTCAACACATTTCTAAACATAATAGTTTTAATAACTCATTTCTAACAACTGATTTGTTTTATCTTTGCCATGATGACAGTAAATAATATTTCACTAGATATTTTTCAAGACACTTTTATACAGCTTAAAGTGACATTTTAAAGGCTTAATTAGGTTAATTAAGATACTTGGCAGGTTAGGGTAATTAGGCAAGTTACTGTATAATGATGGTTTGTTCTGTAGACTTTCGGGAAAAAAAATTGCTTAAAGGGGCTAATAAGTTTGTCCTTAAAATGGTGTTTAAAAAGTTCAAAATTGTTTTTATTCTAGCTGAAATAAAACAAATAAGACTTTCTCCAGAAAAAAACTATATTATCAGACATACTGTGAAAATTTCCTTGCTCTGTTCAACATCATTTGTGAAATAATTAAAAAAGAAAAAAAAAAAAAAAAAAAACTAAAGTTCATATGTAGGTTGAGTTTATTTTGGTTTGTTGTAATAAAAATGATATTTTAATAATAAAAAACTAAAGTGGATGTGTAGCTACAGTATATATTTTTAATATAAATAATTAATTTTAAAAAGCAAACAAATTATATATGTTCATTTAATTTATATATATATATATATATATATATATATATATATATATATATATATATATATATATATATATATATATATATATATAAATAATCAAAAAAGTGAAAGTTTATTTTAGTTTTTTTATATAAATAAAGATATTTCAGTAAAAAAACTAAAATGTTAGCATGTAGGTTCAATTTATTTTGTATTATTTTTTAAAATATATATTTTAATTTAAAAGCTCAAATGTTTTTATGTAGCTACATCTTATTTTGATTTGTTTTAATAAAAAAATATATTTTAATAAAAAAAATTAAGTTAATATGTAGGTACAATGTATTTCAGTTAATTAATTTTTTAAAAATATTTTAAAAAAAATTATATGTAGGTTCAATTTATTTTAGTTTTAATAAAAAAAATTTGTTAAAAATAAATAAAAAGGTAATATGTAGGTAAAATGTATTTTGGTATGTTTTAATAAAACATTTTTAATCATATTTTATTTTTTTTAAAAAGGTTCAGCTTTTTTTCGGTTTGTTTCCAAACTTAATTTAAAGAATTATTAATAATAAATTGGTTCGATTCAAACATTGAATGATGTTGGGCCAGTCATCTTGACGTTCTGTGTAGATCTGAGCTTGTTAAAGTTGAGCAGAAGTCATCATCAGTGCAGAGAAGAGCTGTGTGGCCACAGACAGAGCAGATGTATAATAAGACTCTCCTCTGTCTTTCAGGCCTCGGACTCGATGCCAAATTTGGAAAGTCTCCTAAAAAGACGACACACTGAAGACCGTATGTGTATGTGTGTGCGCTCACATGTACGCCTGCGTTTCAACCCCTGAGACACTTGATCCCAAAACACTTTAGCACACACTATTCCATCAGCACTGTTCTTCAGAGATGACGTTTTAAGCACTCAGAATATTGTTATTATGCTGACGTTCGGAACATTTAATTATGGGATATATTTGCCCATCATTTCTCAAAAGTGGTATCCATGGTAACAAAGGGACAGTGCACTTGTGTCTAATCATAATCTGTCATGTTCATAGAACAAAAATCAGAAAGAGAAAGATTCATATGAAGATCTAGTTCATAACTGTAAAAGTGCGCACACTTTCTGACTCCACAACAAGGGGCAAACACTATTTTTTTTAAACTACCCCTGATTTATACTTTTGACAGATTTATAGATCAAAATCCCAGACATTTAGGAAACAATCGGTTCGTTTAGCCTTAAATTAGGCAGTTTATTTTGGAAAATGTCTAGTTATGGTCATTGCATTCCCCAGAAAGTGTGTGTGGTGTGTTTACTTTGTGTATGTAATGCACAAATGCCTGTATAGATTAATTATTTGTCAAAACATGGCTTTTTCATACCAGATGTCATATTTATATATCGTTTCATGTCCTGTAAAGAAAAAAATGTTTAGAAGTTGACATTTTTTACTAACGACGACAAAAAATATCCATCTGCATTATACTGTAAACTTCTGTCAGAATAAAAATGGGATTTTTTAAATTAATCTACTCTGTATCTCTATAGAAGGATGGGTTTGGGATATCAGGGTGCTTAAATATAAGGGAAACTCAATCATGTTTCTAGAAGATGCCGTCCAGCAGCTGTCATTAGGGAACGTCTGCCAAAATGTTGTTCATGTCTGCCAGCATCATGTTCTCACCCGTCTTGGGAGAGAAAAGCAAAAAAAAAAAAAAACAACAACTACCAAATGACATTAAACACTCACCCTGGACATCAATGGGTTTGTGCTTTTTGTGTTTTGTAGTCGCACCTTTTAAAAGTGTAGTAAATACAAAACGTATCTCTGCTATGGTAGACAGAATTGTGAAATTAGGTCATAAAAATGGACTTGAGTATGAATGAGAACTACACTACCTGACAAAAGTCTTTTTAGCCATCCAAGTTTTAGGAACAACAAATAATAACTTGACTTCTAGTTGATCATTTGTTATCTAGATTACGCTTATTTTGCTAAAATAAAATATGATCATGCCTTGTTTTTTTTTTTTGTTTTTTTTTGTATGACTTTAATTAGTACAGTAAGCTCTGACTTTGCGTAGACAAAAGTCTTGTCTCTTAACAGAATTAATGTACAGTTTAGAATATAGAGTCATGACGCAGTGGAAAAAGAATTAATATTGTGTATGACTCCCATGAGCTTGGAGGACTGCATCCATACATCACTGCAATGACTCAAAAACCTTCATAATCAGGTCATTTGGAATGGCAAAGAAAGCGTTTCTGCAGGACTCCCAGAGTTCATCAAGATTCTTTGAAATCATCTTCAATGCCTCCTCCTCCATCTTATCCCAGACATGTTCAAAAACGTTCATGCCTGGTGACTAGGCTGGCCAATCCTGGAGCACCTTGTCCTTCTTTGCTTTCAGGAACTTTGATAGAGGCTGAAGTATGAGAAGGAGCGCTATCCTGCTGAAGAATTTGCCCTCTCTGTGGTTTGTAATGTGATGGGCAGCCCAAATGTCTTGATACCTCAGGCTGTTGATGTTGCCATCCACTCTGCAGATCTCGCATAGGCCCCAATACTTAATGTAACTTCAAACCATGATTTTTCCTTACCCAAACCGACTGATTTCTATGAGAATCTTGGGTCCATGCAGGTTCAAACAGGTCTTCTGCAGTATTTGTGATGATTGGGATACAGTTCAACAGATGTTTCATTGGGAAAATCTACCTTCTGCCACTTTTCCGAATGGTCAACTAAAAGTCCAGTTATTATTTGTTGCTCTTACAGCTGGGATTGACGACAAGACTTTTGTCAGGTAGTTTTCAATGTTCAGTCCACTTTAATTGATTTGTGTTGGGACAACATGAATTAATAGCGTGGAACCCTGCATTTTTTTACAGTGTATATAGAACATTATGGTGCCTGAGAGAGCTCAAACACTCTGTAAGTTTAGAAAACGTGAAAATCAAGTTGAAAAATCATCTTCAATAGATATTGACAACACACATTCTGACAAAAAAATACATGCAAATATAGAAACACTCTGCAAATAGTGCAGACCACAACTGAAATGTGTCAGGGGATGCCAAAAAGGATGATCCTGCTTTCTGTTTTGAGTCTGCGATGTTGTCGGTGATTAAAGAGGTGAGTTTTTTTATTTATTTATGCACATTTAATGTTAAATGAATTATTTTAATGCCATTTTAAACTAAAACACTGCATGTATTTTGAAAATGCATACAAAGTTTGCACATAACTTTTAAACTTGTTTCATACTATAAGAAAACAGTTCAAATATGACACACAATAATTTATCAAATAAATTCTTATTTTGCGTATCAAAAAAGTCATCTGATTTTTGTTTTAATGAATCAATAACTGATGATAAAAATGGGTGCTAAGACAACATTAATGGATAAAAGAGCTTATTGACCACATTGTAAAACATCTGAAATGTTGTTAGTCATTCGAAAATGCCTTCTTCGACCAGGGGTGTCTAAATTCAGTCCTGGAAGGACTGTGTCCTGCTGAGTTTGGCTCCAACTTGTCTCAACACATCTGCCGGAACGTTTCTAGTATATTTAGTAAGAGCTTGATTAGCTGGTTTAGGTGTGTTTGATTTGGGTTGGAGCTAAACTCTCCCAGACCGAGTTTGGACACCCCTGCTTTATAGACAATGTCTGTCATCAAAGTGGTTTGGTGTATAGAGCTTCTTATAATAAACTTGAATAAATAACTTTTACTTGTATAATTTTCACATTAAGCAGTGGCGCATTAGGTAGTGCTGTCGCCTCACAGCAGGAAGGTCGCTGGTTCGATCCTCGGCTCAGTTGCCGTTTCTGTGTGGAGTTTGCATGTTCTCCCTGCGTTCGCGTGGGTTTCTTCCGGGTGCTCCGCTTTCCCCCACATGCGGTACAGGTGAATTGGGTAGGCTAAATTGTCCGTAGTGTATGAGTGTGTGTGTGGATGTTTCCCAGAGATGGGTTGCGGCTGGAAGGGCATCCGCTGCGTGAAAACTTGCTGGAAAAGTTGGTGGTTCATTCCGCTGTGACGACCCCGGATTAATAAAGTGACTAAGCCATCGAGAAAATTAATTAATTAATGAATGAATTTTCACATTACGTAACTGACTGCAGAGATATACTCTTACCTGAAACATATATTACAGTAGCCAGTCTAAACAATTTGCATAATTATAGGCTCTTGTTGATTTTCATTATTTATTTATTTATTTTTTGTAGGGTAGCAAACACTTCTTTATCCATTATTGGTGCCAGATCGCTAGTGATTCTACGGTAGGTCGCATTGACAACGCACAAGAAAATGCATTTCAGCAATCTCACACATTCACATTCGGACAGGATTTGATTTATCATTAGTCCACAGAATTAGATGAAAACAGTTGGTAATTTGCTCTGGAGGCCTTGTGAGGATAAAAAGAGACGTGGCAGAATTTAGACAGGATTAAAGTCACAATGTACATCTGTGAAACTAAAACGTTAACATCTCCCAGTTAAGCTGATCTCATCCCAATAGGGCTAATAGCAGAATTTTCATTCTTAGTTTTGTGTGAACTATCCCTTTAACAAGAGCCAGCCCTTTTCTTTCTCTGATAACTGTGTTCGCAATTGAGAAGAGTCGTCGTTTGCTTAACAGGAACTCTGAGGAAAGGTTAATGTGCAATTGAAAGCAGAAAATGAAATCGGAGGGAAACAAACACGGCCGGATGTCGGGTAGGCAATCTGATTAAAAGAGGCAGCGGAGGAGAAGTGGCAGCGCTGCAAAAACTACATTTCCACACTCACCGTTTGAACACGCTGGCCCGAGGCTGTCCTGGATAAAAAAAAACCATGATCAAGAGCTGCTCTCCTTTCTCTTCCTCTCTGTTATTTTAATCTCATGCTCAATTTTAAAGCCGAGCTCTTTTAGGCTATGTAAATTGATTTTTTTTCACTGTGGTTTTGTTAACACGTGCTATGAATATAAAGGTGCAAAAAAGCAGGATCAGAGTGCTTCTGAAAGTTGTGGTGTAGTTCAAAGTATGTTTGCATGATTGTGTGTACATATCAATTTAAGTACATATAATGTGTACCAATGCGTACAATTGCGAAAACATGAGTCAGACTGCAGAATTAATCATAAATCATGTTTTTTGGAAATATTGTAATATTACACCACATACCTCTAATCTTAGATTATGCACAGGAGCAAACTTATTTAGGGTCCCTAAGCAATTCCAGGTATTGGGCCCTAGCATTGAAACTCAGAACATTGTCACACTTTAGATACTTTTTTCTCTGTAGATTAGCCAGCACTCTATGGCAAGCCATTTGAAATTTTATTTATAACCTGTACTAGTATCTATTTATAATATAAAATATAGGGGCTAATAATTATGACTTCAACTATATATATATATATATATATATATATATATATATATATATATATATATATATATATATATATAAAACACACACAAATATATGTACATGATTTTCTGAATTCTTCAATGCACAACAAAAATATTTTTTATGGGATTATGAACATACTTTCACAAATCATGAATTGTGCGTTAAAGAATTGTAAAATCATGTGTGTGTATATGTGAATTTATCTTCAGCAATTTTCATGAATCATTTTTTTTTTAATCAAGTAAAATATAAAACATTCTACTATGAATCTCTACTATCACCTTTGTTCGATCTTTCTTTGAAAATGTTAAATATTTTTATAACTATAGTAATAATATGTTTAGTCAATATGTTAATATATTTAGTAATATAAAAAAATTCTAATAATAGTTTATATTATAAATGTAATTATTTTAGAATTGCTGTTGAAAAAAAGCATTGTATAATTTAAGATTATTATGTGGTTTAATGCTTTAAAAAAAAAAAACTTTAAAATTTTATCATTCATTCAATCATTTTGCTTCGGCTTAGTCCCTTATTTATCAGGGGTCGCCACAGTGGAATGAACCGCCAGCTTATCCAGCATGTGTTTTACACAGCGGATGTTCTTCCAAGTGCAACCCAGTAACACACACACACACACACACAATACTGCCAATTTTGTTTACCCAATATAGAGTATGTCTTTGGAATGTGGGGGAAACTGGAGGAAATCCATGTGAACACGGGGAGAACATGCTAACTCTATGCAGAAATGCCAACTGACCTAGCCAGGACTCAAACTAGTGACTTTCTAATTGATGTGACAGTGCTAACCACTGTGCCACCCCCGCCTTTATTATCCAATAATAATAATAATTATAATAAACTTTATTTATATGAATGAATAAAAATGTATTTTTAATGATCAAAAAAGCAAAATTCTTAACAGTTAATAGCGAAACAAAAATGTGGAATACTAAATAAAAACTTTTCAGTGATGAAAATAAAACGCAACCATTTTAGATTACTCTTCTTTTTCACAGTACTATAAAAAATGCATACAATGGAAAGTTTCTAGTGATGCTCTTCAAGAACAATCAATACCAACAAAGAACATTGATATTTTAAGAGCGTATGATTGAC